GTACCTAGCAAAGCCGAGTTTGGAGCTCGCCAACTAGCTTTAGCGGAACCCATAAATACGCTAAAAAGGGGCCTTCATGATAATATTCTGTTTCTCTCCCTGTCTTGCCAATACATTTTAATTTAACTTCTTAATTTTTTAAATCAAGTTGTTTAGGTAGGTATACATTTTTATTTTCGATATTTACATTTTATTCAAATAATTGTGTAAAAGTATAATTGTTTTTTCCACAGGTTTTTTCATACATACGTTTCTAATAGTTAGTAATAACTTACATTTGAATATACCAGATTCACTGACGAATAAACTGACGGACTATTGATTCCCTGTTATCATTTCAAAAGTAACTGTGTCAAGTGTTTTAGTTGGAATAAATGTATTTTTATTTTGCCTTTACTACTCCTAGCAAGTTCACCACTTGAGTAGAGGTGTATCCTTACGTAGGAAAGGCTAAGAGGTAAAATTACAAAATATCTCACTTGCACCGTACATTTCCATTTAAATCTGTACCAAAGTAAAGAAAAATAAAGCTGTAAAAATCCAACTTTATCCTCCAACACTACATCTACTGGCCAAAGCAGTAATGAAAATATAGGTAACAGACCCACAGACATCAACAAACAGACATACAGGCACATCTTTGCTGTTTGGCCATCAATTAGCTGATGAACTGGCCAGTTGATTGATTGCTCGCTTCATCAGCCGGGAGGTCCAAATGAAAATTGACGTAACACGTACTTATTGAGCTGAAAACGCCAGTAACTAAGCATCACTTAGCTATTTCAAGAGGATTTGTAAAAGTTAGCAGTACAAGCTTCACTAACGAACAGTCGGACAAATTCTGTTATAAAATGTCGAATATAACAACTTTTAGGTACATGGTTTAGTTGGAGATAAAGTGCTTCCTTGTCCTACTCTATGTCGCGGCTGCGATGTCTTATTGCGCTTTCCCCCCCGGCTGAAAACCAGCCCTAGTAAGGCCCCATCTGTGGTGGTCTATTGGCTCTTATTGACCTCTATTAGTTGTAACAATTGGTATCAGAAACCGTGACACGACCAGTCAAAATCTAAATATAGATTCTGACGATCACTTATCTAACGTATATTCCCAGTTTCCAAATACAAAATCAAAACAGTACAGTTGAGCGGGCTCGGCCCCAATATCAGTCATCTTTTAATATTCACTCGGTTTCGTCAAATATCGTAACATCAAACACACACGAGTAGAACGCACCCGACGAACCAATCGCCTGTATGTAATAAGAATATAAAACGAAAAGGGCCTATTATGAAGTACTTTGAAGTTACTTCGTTGGGAAATACTTATTACGATAAATATGTTTACGAGATGGTACCAAAAGATTTTCCATTTTTAATATATAGATTGGTCGACGGCATTTGTATGTTTTTTTCGTGATTCAAATTTCGATCTTTATAAGAATTAATTCAATTTGCTTTTTGGCGCAATCGGTAAGAATTATGATATTTTAGAATTTGCGTGAAATGGAGATTTAAAATAGTAATTGCTTAAAAATGATTTTCACTTGAGTGGTTTTAAACAGCAAAATTATTAAAATTAAACAAATCAATTTAGAGTATTCATACAGGCGTTAATCCTTCAAATAAAAAGTGACATCTCATTCAATTTACTGCCAATTTCGATGATTATTTCGTCGGATCCATTATTGACAACGCAAGTGTAATATTTTAATTGGAATGTCCATCGATACAGGACGTAATTGCAGTCATGCGAAGACAGACCACGCCTCTATAGACTAAATACATATGCATGAATTCTCTCAACATAAACAGATACACGAATAGGTGGATTTAAAAAACAATCACCACGGCGGCTTAAGATATGAACACCTCTTTTCGCTCATGTCGGATTGTTGTGTTGATTACATAAGTGTGGGTCACTGAGTGCACATGTATTTGCGTACATACACACGAATATAAGCAATATATTTTACACAGTCGATTAGTCTAATTGAAACTGATCGAGATGTTGTTGCAAATTCTAGATATTATAGGCAACTTAATTAGCAAAATGTGTAGCAGGAATGCACAAGACATACAGTTACATTATGTGTGTGTCTTTTGTAATGATCATTAGGTAATAGTATAACATCCACATTTTTGCGTGATATAATATTATAGTAATTCAAGTACAATTTTTTCAATTTTGTGCGAGTATACTAACAAAATAAAAAAAAATTTTACAAAATAAAAAAACCGCCTTCAAAAAAAGTCAAGCAATAAAAGTCCTACACTAAAAAGTAAAAAATAACAATTTGAATTACTGTAAAAAAACTTAATTTATGGGTAAACTTATTTGACATTAATATTTTGCAAATATTCAAAATTTATTACTTATTTTTGGAGTCGGTGCCAGCATTTTAATGTTGAAACTTAATGTTAGTTAGCTTTTTAATATCCGGTGCCATTTTTCGTACATAATGCTTAAACATTTTCAATGTACTTAAAATGTTTTTGTAAGTATATATTTTTTATTTAAAAAAAATGTGCAAATCGGACATTTTTTGTAGAGAAGTCTAATCTGTATTTATGTCTTAATTAATATACCTATATTTGAGTATGCAAATAGGTATTAAGTAGTTTTATAATTAAGTAAGAGGTAGTTTTTCAAGGGATTGTTGCCCATTTGTATTTCCTTGCATGGGCTGGCACCGACTCCAAAAATAAGTAATAAATTTTGAATATTTGCAAAATATTAATGTCAAATAAGTTTACCCATAAATTAAGTTTTTTTACAGTAATTCAAATTGTTATTTTTTACTTTTTAGTGTAGGACTTTTATTGCTTGACTTTTTTTGAAGGCGGTTTTTTTATTTTGTAAAATTTTTTTTTATTTGTAGCCGTTTAGTGTTTTTTTTTTTATTATAATGTGTTATGGCAAAGAAGTCAATATCGTTCCTACATTTCTTTTGAAAAAGTTACCAATGTCATACTTATACGTAGAAATACATATCATAGTACATTGTTACTGTGTAATCGTTTTGATCTCGAGGAGAGATGATATGATGCATGAGATACTTATGACTTATAGTTAAAATAAAATAATAATCTTATTATAAATTCATATTAGTTCTCGCCAAATAACAAAAAACTAGATATTTTCATCAACAGACAGATAAAGTTCAAAGATACCAAATGCAATCTAATTTAGTGTCTATGATTAAATACATTCGTACATAGAAAAAAGACCGATGCAATTATTGTTTTTGTATCATTTGTAACCCATTAAATGAATAATACTATTTTGTTATTACTAAGAACATTCATATATAGACAAGTTGGTAAAAATACAAAAGACCATCGCTATTGTAAATATACATTTATGACTCATTCAATGTATGAACCTTTTTAAAGTAAGTATTATCTACATATGTGCACACAAAAGAAACACAATTATTGTTTTGTACGACGCAATTATTGTTTTGTAACCCATTTAAAACGACTGTTTTGTTAAAAATGCCAATGAATTCTCTTAGCCTATTACCAGGAAAACGATAAGAACACAATGACGCATTTCACCACTAATGTGTAAACGCAGTCCACGTGGACTAATGCAAAATAGCCAATACTAGGCCAAACTCCGCCCCCAAAGGTGTGCGGTCCCGCTCTAGAACCTTTCGGCCCCATCAGCCATCTGTTCTACGAGCAATGTGCCGTGCCCACTGTCACTTAAGTTTGGCATTTCTTCGGGCTATGTCGGTAACCCTGGTTCTTCTGCGGATTTCTTCATTTCTGATTCGAACATGCACGGAAACTATGAGCATAGCCCTTTCCATTGCTCTTGACAGCTCTACTAAGCTTACACAATACTAGGCCCCATGCCAACCTTCCAGCTTCATCATCACATCAGTTCAATAGTACCTTACAGCCAAAGTGCATCTTATAACAATTCTAACAAGCCCAAACACGGCTAGGATATATTAATTAGGTACGCAGTTCCAGTGCCTACCTTCCAGCTCCTTAATCATCATTAAATCAGTTCGATGATAACATTTCCAACATAATTATTTAAGATCATTGGTTTACAGTGCATTTTCATAGTTGCTGAACTACCTTGATTGTGATATCTATGCGAGTGTCAAGTTTCATCACCCATTTCTGATCTTCTTCACCAGTTCCACCTCATCAAATATTACTTTTTGACTGTAAATGCTTGAGTGCTCTATGAAAATATTAAAATTACTATATAGTTGCCTATAATATTTGAGGAGTTCCCTCGATTTCTCATGGATCCCATCATCAAAACTCGATTTTGAAAAGAATGGGACCAATCTGGAAGCATATCCTTTCAATCATAAAAAAAATTTTGCAAATCCGTCCATAAACGACGGAGTTCTGAGGTAACAAACATAAAAAAAAAAAATAAAAAAAAAAAAAAAAAAAAATACAATCGAATTGAGAACCTCCTCCTTTTTTTGAAGTCGGTTAAAAATAAGTATATAAATACAATTAAGTACATTTTGCTCCTTGGGAAAATAGTCTATTTTTATGACTGTGAAAACTTTAGCAAACTGAAGTGGTAAAGTTACATACTTATTTGTTGAAAAAACTAAGACTTGGGGTAGATGTCTTTTGGAAACCAACTCTAGAAAAACGTCGTCTAGGGCGCCCTCCAGCTAGGTAGAGGGACGATATCCATAAGGTGGCTAGCACACATGCTGTGCTGAACATCGCGCTCAGTGGCGTACTCTCGGAGAACCTGATATCCAGCAGTGGACGGAAACGGGGTGATAATGATGATGACTGCGAAAAAATATTTTGTCTATGACGTTAGAAAAATATGGATCATGTGTATACGTAATTGCAACGTTATATTATTGTCATTTAAAATTATTCCTCATGGGTATGAAAAGTGGAATTCTTAACCAGACAATATGTATAATTTACGTTAGCTGAAGGATATTTAATGTATGTAGGTTATCTCAAAATTATGTCAGTTGTAACTCTCGTTTTTCTTACAGAAATCGACATACACAAGTCAGAAGACTGCAGGTCTGAATGGGTGGAAGTTAGAGATGGGTACATGCCCGACGCTCCCGTTCTGGGCAGGGTCTGCGGATCTGGCAAAGGACCCATGATGAGGTCAACTGGCTCCAGACTGACTGTTGTATACCAACCTGGGCCAAGACCCAAACCTCATAGAGGTTTTAGGGCATTTTATGAAGGTCAGTGAAAATATTATAAAGTATTCAAGTAACTGTGAAATTCCATACAGAAACAGGAGTTACTAAAATTACTAAATGGAAATAAAATGTAAAATATTGCGAATAACCACATATTCATTAATTTAAATTAATATAAATGACATTATATTTGAATCATTAAAAAAAGGCGAAAAGTTGGCACACTCTTGTTGAACTAAAATCGTTAAGAAAAACAGATGTGAATATTTTAAAGAGGCATCATTTTCAAGCACTCAAAACTTTTGAATGTAATAACAGCTCTTATAAAATAAGCTCAGACACGTCACTTATCTTTTGGCTGAAAACTTTTTCGACTGATGAGTTTGATTAATTTAAATCCTAATAGGGGCATGCCCTTTTCAATCCAAATTTAAAAGATATGATCAAATATCTATGAACTACAAAATTATAGCAAAAAAGAATTTTTATCCCCAAAAGTATTTTGAGTACAGCTCCCTATGATGCTCATGTCGATAGACCCATGCAAAGGTCCTCTTTGTAGTTTTCGGAAATAATACTTATTATCAATTTCCAGCTGTTTGTGGAGGAGATATAGAAGTAGACAGCACCGGTCATCTGGAGTCACCGAATTATCCTGATGACTATCAACCCAACAAGCTATGCATTTGGAGGCTTTCTGTACCACAGGTAGGTACTTTTTGGAGTCCCATGTTGGGCGCCACATAGTTTTTTAGTTAGTTACCCTTACGAATACACTACTTAATACGTACAAAATTCCGAAATAAGCATTCTCTATTTAATCAAAGGCTCATAATCCAATAACGGTATTCTAAACGTATTTGTTCCCATAAATAACCTAATTATTATTTTCTTTCAGGACTACCAAGTCGCTCTTCGCTTTCATTCCTTCGAAGTAGAGAACCACGATACTTGTTCTTACGACAAGGTCAAAGTAAGGGATGGTGACTCCATGGATAGTCCACTTATCGGTATGTTCTGCGGACATAAAATACCTCCAGATATCAGGTAAGTCTATTATATATATTTTTTTTTAATATACTGTCTTGTCATCTGAATAAACCAGTTTACTTCTGAACGTAATAAAGTTTACTCAGTAGGTGTTTTTGTACTTACTTACGTTTCGGGCAAAAACTTGTTGACAGATTTTCAAGGTCAATACTTTAATTCAAAACTTACCCTAAAATAAAACCTATAATAATACTATTCTGTTTTAGGTCTACATCCAACAAATTATTGGTCATCTTCGAATCGGACAGCACAGTTCAGAAGGCTGGTTTCTCCGCGACTTTCATGAAAGAGTTTGACGAGTGCGCTTCAATAGAACATGGGTGCAGTCACTCTTGTGTCAACACTCTCGGAGGGTATGAATGTGCTTGCGACATTGGATACGAACTACATTCGGATGGGAAAAAGTGCGAGAGTAAGTAGATTCTCTTGGTTTTAGATAAAATTTTATAAACTGTAAATAAGTATATATTGGGTAGAATCCTATCATTGGAAACTTATGACAAAGAGATTTTAACAATGTACAACTTTTTAATTACAAACCATTACACCACTACGATTGTTTTCAAAATGAAATATACCCCTCTCTCGTTTGAGAGACTTTCTTTGTCAATCTTTCTGCAATAATATCTTGTTAGTACTACTCAAAGATTCAGAAAGATTTCAGAAAACTAATATGAAAGAATGAATTCATAACAAAATATTTCGCACTTCTTAAAACCCCTTATTCTTTGTCCAGATGCTTGCGGAGGTTCACTATACGCACCAAACGGAACGATAACGTCACCATCATTCCCCGACTTGTATCCACCTTCAAAGAACTGCCTCTGGGAGATTGTAGCCCCTCCACAGCACAGGATCACTCTGAACTTCACACACTTCGATTTGGAGGGCAACAATATGTACCAGCAGGTAATTTTTAGTTTGTGAACCAGAAATTTTTATCCATTTGGTTGTAAATAGAAAATACGACTGGATGCTAGAGGATATGTCCCCAAAATATCTGCCCGTTTTCGGTGTGACATAATTATATTGCTAATTATCTAGAACACTTCTTGAAAACTATGGAAACAGAACGACATATTTTTTTAACATTAATGGCGTCTTTTTTTTGGTTTGTTGTTGTCGCTTATTATTTTATCACATTCAAATTTTCAACTCATCAAGTTTTATTTTTTCATCATCCATATCGTATTCATTTTTCAAAATTCTATATTATAAGTCTCTCCTGCTCCTAAATCGAAAGTATTACTCATAGTCACAAGAAAAGTTTATGTATTTCCAGGAGTGTGAGTATGACAGTGTGACGGTGCACTCCAAGTTGGGAGCTGATGTGTTGAGGAGGCATGGAGTGTTTTGTGGATCTGCGCTACCACCGCCCGTTACTTCTGATGGATCTGTATTGAGAGTACAGGTTGGTACTTGCCTTACTTCATTATTACACGAAAAATAAATGGTTATATATTTTTACTGTTTTATTAGCCTTTCATATGAAACGTTTGTTCTATGTTTGAATTCAGATTATCGATCCTCTCATTTTAAAATCTGTTATTAATGTGACAGAAAACTCTTTGACATCATGACGTCAATGGATGGTTGTCAAACGTTGCCTAGAGATTGTAAATTTCGTCGTGAATTGTCAACACGAGTTGGTGTAATCGGTAAGGCGTGTGGATTACACCACAGAGACCCCGAGTTCGAGTCCCGCCGTAAACATGAAGTTTTTTAGTTGATGGAAGTTTTGTCGAACTTTCTGGAATATTTGAGTGAAAGTAATGAAAAATTAAGGAGCGAGAAGGAGAATAAATAAAAATGAATAACGAAATTATTGGAAGGTTCTGGAGGCATGACGATCAAAAAGAATAACGAAATTGAATGTTCTAGAACCTGACCGGGGGTATATAAGCGGAACTGCGGCTCACCGCTGGCAGTTGAGTTCTAAGTCCAAAGCGATTCGGAAGAAAAGGAAGAAGTGAAAAGAAGAAAAGTGAGTGAAATAGTGAAGTACAGTGAAATAGTGAAGTGCAGTCAGTTAAGTGAGTTAAGTCAGCGTGAACAGTGAACGGCAAAGTTGTGTCAGTCGGCCGGACTCTGCTGGAGAGGAACGCCGTTAACTTATCCGTATCCGTGGACGCTGTCACTTAAGTGCAATAGAAAGTCTGAAAACCGGTATTAGTGTTTAATTTCATCCAATCCCGTAACCCAAGCCCGCATAGTTAGGAACGTGACGTCAGGCACGTAACATTTGGAGTGTCAGAAGTGGGATTGGAGAAAAATGCCGCTAGTGCCGCAGGACGTAAGAGGAGTGAGTACCCGTGCTATGTCAGAAGCGCAGCGTGTGAGGGAAGAGGGTGCTGCAGCTCAGACCAGCGATGCAGAAGCCAAGCCTGTGCAGATGGATCTTCTGCTACAGCTGCGGCAAATGATGGCAGAACAGCTGCGTGAGCTGAAAGAAGATCAAGCGCGCCGCCAAGAAGAGCAAGCACGCTGTCAGGCAGAACAGCTGCGGGAGCTGAAAGAAGATCAAGCGCGCCGCCAAGAAGAGCAAGCGCGCCGCCAAGAAGAGCAAGCGCGCCGCCAAGAAGAGCAAGCACGCTGTCAGTCAGAACAGCTGCGGGAGCTGAAAGAAGATCAAGCTCGTCGCCAAGAGGAGCAAGCGCGTCGCTTGGAAGACATGCATAAAGATTTCACGAAGGGACTGCAAAAGGCTGTCGAACGGGTACAAGAAGTGGAGGAAGGTTTAGGCAAGTTGGAACATCGCGTCATGGCGATAGAGGAGAGAGTGGAAGAAGAGATCTCCAAAATCAAGCAGGAAATGACAAGCCCAAGCCCTTTGAAGAGCCGAAGCCGTCTTGCAGCCGTTTTTGACGCCCCAAATGCGGCCTCAAGCGCAACGAAAGGGCTGAAGATTCCCCATTACGACGGAACAACATCCTGGACCGCGTTCAAGCTACAGTTTGAGACACTTATGGAGGCTTATGGTTGGACTCAGAAGGAAGCACAGTCAGCCCTCACCCTGGCCCTCCGTGATCAAGCGCTCTCAGTGCTGGAAGCTATCGGCGCAAGTGGGGATCTCAGCTTTAGTACCCTCCTCGACGCACTTGAGGCACGTTTTGGAGACAGCCACCTCGAGCACGTGTACAGAGCGCAATTAAAAGAGCGTACTCAGCGTGCTAATGAGAGTCTACAGCAATGGTCCGTGGAAATCGAGAAACTTGTGCGTCGAGCTTTTCGGTCGACTCCATCAATGATTGAAGGCACGCTTCTCCAAGCATTCATTGACGGTGTTCGGGACCCCGAAGTACGAGCTGCTGTTCATCTGGGCCATCACAAGAACATGAAAGAAGCTCTGGCCTATGCATTGGAAGTGGAAGCCGTGCGTGGTAACTCCCGTACCTTACGTCTGCGGGAAATGACGACAACGGAGCAGGTACCTCCACGCCGTCGGAACTTCATGTGCTATGGATGCGGAGAGCGTGGGCACATGCGGAGCGACTGCCCGAAGAAGGTGAACCGCCAGGACGCGGCGGTCTCAACTTCTGACCAGCAGGGAAACTAAATCCAGCCAGGGCTGCGGGGTGGGCGCTGGCCGGTAGTGGAATAACCCCAACAATCTACATCAAGCAAACTAACGATGGAAATACTCTGGTGATAGACGGTCAAGTAAATGGGAAAAACAGTCAGCTAACATTAGATACTGGAGCTTCAAGGACGGTGATAAATGTTCGGCTGCTCGGGCAAAACATCAGGAAACACGTTAAACCAATTGTTGGCCTACGAATGAAATCAGCTACCGGCCAGTGCATACCGATAAGTGGAAAACTGCATGTAACAATCAAAATTGGGGAACGTGTTTATCGACATGAGGTTATTGTGGCCAAAATTCTGGATGATTGCATCCTGGGACTTGACTTCCTGCAAGGGCACCAGTGTAACATCGACTTAAAATCTGGAGTATTACTATGTGGAACTGAGGAAATTCCGATGAAGGGTGGAACCCTGGGAAAAGTTTGCTGTTTAAGAAGAACTGTTCTTGAACCAAAATCACAGACTCTCGTACCAATCGCATTACCTAGGAGGAGGGAAGGAAGTTTACCTCTAAGGTGCGCTGTGATTGATAAATCGGAACACGTAAACTCATGGCTACCGGCGAGAACTGTCGTGGGGTCATCTGATGTCAACCGCATTCCGGTATTCAACTTCAGTGATTCAAAAATTACGATTGAAGAAGGAGAGCCTGTGGGCGTATTGGAAGAAGTGGCCTGGATAAGAAAATGCTCGGAGAATCTTGTGAAGAAGGACAGTACGGGAATAGACTTTGTAACGAAAATCTTAGACGAAAACAAAAGTCTGACAAAAGTGGAGACTATGAAAGCTAGAAATTTACTTCTTCGATTCTCTGATGTGTTTTCAAGAAGCGATGGTGATATTGGCCGAACTGGTTTGGTGAAGCATAAAATAAACACAGGTGATACAATGCCAATTCGTCAAAGGCCCAGACGCATACCATTCGCTCGTGAGAAAGAGGTTGAACAAATGATTGACGATATGAGGAAAAATGACGTGATAGAGCCCTCTTCTAGCCCTTGGTGTTCACCTGTCGTGCTTGTCAAGAAGAAAGATGGTTCAACGAGGTTTTGCGTAGACTATCGACGATTGAATGATGTAACCAAGAAGGATAGCTACCCGTTACCAAGAATCGATGACACACTTGACACACTGAGTGGCATGAAATGGTTTTCAACGCTCGATCTGAAAAGCGGCTATTGGCAGGTGGATTTGGATCCCAAGGACAAGGAAAAGACCGCATTCTCAACTGGGAAGGGACTCTGGCAATTTAAGGTGATGCCATTTGGATTATGCAATGCACCGGCAACCTTTGAGCGTTTGATGGAACAGGTGCTGGCGGGACTGCTGGGCGAAACCTGCCTAGTTTACCTCGATGACATCATCATTGTTGGACGGGATTTTGACGATCATCTAAGGAAATTGGAAAAGGTACTCGATAAGCTGCGTGGAGCAAATTTAAAGTTGAGTCCAAAGAAATGCTCTTTCTTCAAGCGCGAAGTGAATTATCTAGGACATGTTATTTCTGAGAGAGGAATTGAGACTGATCCAGCCAAGACTGCCGCTGTTAAGGAATGGCCAACACCTAAAGACAAAACGGAAGTTCGGGCATTTCTTGGATTGTGCTCGTATTATCGGCGGTTTGTGAAAGGATTCTCGGACATTGCCAAGCCTTTGCATCGATTGACAGAGGAGAAACGTGCCTTTATCTGGGACGAGGATTGTGAGCAAGCCTTTCGAGAACTAAAAGAACGGCTTTGTAACACACCAATTCTCGGATACCCCAGCGCGAAAGGAATATTCGTAGTTGATACGGATGCCAGCAATATTGGAATAGGAGGTGTCCTTTCACAACGCGATGGTGAGCAGGAGAAGGTTATTGCTTACTTCAGCAAGTCACTATCCAAGCCGGAGAAGAATTATTGCGTGACCAGGAGGGAATTGCTGGCCGTAGTCAAAACTCTGCACCATTTCAAGAAGTATTTACTGGGACGGAAATTTTTGATCAGAACTGATCACGCTGCTTTGAAATGGCTGCTTCAGTTTAAGGATCCCGAAGGCCAAGTAGCCAGATGGTTGGAACAACTTCAGGAATTTGACTTTGAAATCGAACATCGCGGCGGAAGAATTCATGGCAACGCAGATGCATTATCGAGACGCCCATGCGTGGAAGATTGCAAGCATTGTGCCAAGAAGGAAACTGCTTTTCTTAAGGTGATAAGGACTGATACTGTTGACGAGGCATGGGGAGATGATGCGATGAAATTAGAACAGGAAAGAGATGCAGATATCAAACCAATACTGGAGTGGCTACGAAGTGGTAACAAGCCAAGTTGGAGTGACGTCGCCCAATATAGCGCGGTAACGAAAGGTTTATGGGCACAGTGGAAAAGCCTTACGCTGCATAACGGACTTCTGTGCAGGAAATGGGAATCAACAAACGGCAAGGACGAGCATTTGCAATTGGTGGTGCCTCGTTCAAAAATAAGGGATTTATTAAAAGCGTTCCATGATGGATCTTCTGGAGGACATTTGGGAATTAGGAGGACTTTGGTGAAGATCAAGGAGAGGTTTTATTGGTTGCATTGCAAATATGACGTCGAAGATTGGTGCCGGAAATGCACTAGTTGTGCAGCTGTCAAGGGTCCACAAACAAGAAGCAGAGGGGCGATGAAAATCTACAATGTTGGTATGCCTTGGGAGAGAATAGCCTTAGACATCGCTGGACCATTTCCAATCACTGATTCGGGCAATCGCTACGTTTTAGTGGTTATGGATTATTTTACAAAATGGCCGGAGGTCTTTGCCATACCGAATCAAGAGGCAGTAACTGTAGCCACGAAGTTGGTAAACGACGTATTCACCCGATTCGGAGTGCCCTTGGAGATGCACAGTGATCAAGGACGGAACTTTGAATCCCAAGTTTTCCAGGAAACTTGTAAACTTTTGGGAATCCATAAGACTCGAACGACCCCTTATCATCCACAGTCAGATGGAATGGTCGAACGCTTCAACCAAACATTGGAGCGACACTTAGCAAAGGTGGTTGACAGCCATCAGAGAGATTGGGACACTTACATACCTCTCTTCTTGCTTGCCTATCGGACTGCTGTACATGAAAGTACCGCAAAGACGCCTGCATTTGCAAATTTTGGAAGGGAATTGAGATTACCGGCAGATCTTGTATCGGGCTGTCCACCTGGTGACTCTCGCACCGAGTTTAGCGATTACATAAGCGAGTTAAGGGCAAAAATGTTGGACATTTATGAGCAGATCAGGGAGGCCGGTCTTCAAGCTAGTGATCGCGCAAAGACGCGCTATGATCGACGAGCCAATTCTGTTGGGTTTGAAGAGGGGTCATTGGTCTGGCTTCATAATCCAGTCAGAAGGAAGGGAAAATCTCCAAAGCTGCAACCGAGTTGGGAAGGTCCTTACGAGATAGTCACGAAGATCAATGACATTACTTACAGAATTCGGAAGTCTTCAAGGAGCCCTTTGAAAGTTGTCCATATAGACAGGTTGGCGAGGTATTACGGCAGCAACGATGCTCGGGACGAGCGAATCTAAGAGGGGGGCAGTGTGACAGAAAACTCTTTGACATCATGACGTCAATGGATGGTTGTCAAACGTTGCCTAGAGATTGTAAATTTCGTCGTGAATTGTCAACACGAGTTGGTGTAATCGGTAAGGCGTGTGGATTACACCACAGAGACCCCGAGTTCGAGTCCCGCCGTAAACATGAAGTTTTTTAGTTGATGGAAGTTTTGTCGAACTTTCTGGAATATTTGAGTGAAAGTAATGAAAAATTAAGGAGCGAGAAGGAGAATAAATAAAAATGAATAACGAAATTATTGGAAGGTTCTGGAGGCATGACGATCAAAAAGAATAACGAAATTGAATGTTCTAGAACCTGACCGGGGGTATATAAGCGGAACTGCGGCTCACCGCTGGCAGTTGAGTTCTAAGTCCAAAGCGATTCGGAAGAAAAGGAAGAAGTGAAAAGAAGAAAAGTGAGTGAAATAGTGAAGTACAGTGAAATAGTGAAGTGCAGTCAGTTAAGTGAGTTAAGTCAGCGTGAACAGTGAACGGCAAAGTTGTGTCAGTCGGCCGGACTCTGCTGGAGAGGAACGCCGTTAACTTATCCGTATCCGTGGACGCTGTCACTTAAGTGCAATAGAAAGTCTGAAAACCGGTATTAGTGTTTAATTTCATCCAATCCCGTAACCCAAGCCCGCATAGTTAGGAACGTGACGTCAGGCACGTAACATTAATATAGGTAATCTTCAACGTCTTTGAATAACTCACAATGCAATAAAGTAGAAAATAATAGAATAAAAAATAAAATAACTTTTGAATTACTTAGTTCACATCGGACGGCTCAGTGCATCGGTCAGGATTTGCAGCGGCTTATTACATTGACGTGGATGAATGTGCGGAGAACAATGGTGGTTGTCAACACGAGTGTCGCAATACCCTGGGTGGGTATGAGTGTGCGTGTTACAGTGGCTTCACATTACACGCCAACGCACACGACTGCAAGGAAGGAGGCTGCAAACATGACGTCACGCAACCACATGGCACTATTTTCAGGTAAATTATTCTTTTAATGATTTTCATATCGACAATTTTTTTGTGTCGGCAAATAATCAGACATATTACCTAGTTGCAAGCAATCAGCACATATCAAAGGAGTTACTACAAGTTCTTTGGCGGTCACTTGTGGGATGTAAAGGATTTAATTATTGAGGGGAAATGATTAGGCCTCCGGTAACGTCACTCACACGACGAAACACAACGTAAGTGTTGCTTGACTCCGGCTTTCTGTGAGGCTGTGGTATTACTCCGGTCAAGCCGGCCCATTCGTGCCGAAGCTCGTTTAAAAGCCACCCATTCCACGGAAAAAGAAAATATCCGTTTTACAGTAAATGTGCTGTCTTTAATCTAGATTTGTAGGTACTAAATAACCAATCTTTACTTACCTAAATTTTCTTATTCATTATAAACCATTAGTATACATTTATATCAGCAGAACAACTATGTTTACAATGTATTGTATTTATTTCACAGTCCAAACTACCCTGCTACATACCCACCCCGGAAAGACTGCGTGTGGCAGTTCTCCACGACACCGGGCCACAGGATCAAACTAGTCTTCCAGAAGTTTGAGTTGGAACCACACCCTGTGCGTATAATAATTTATCAGATTCAAGAATTAAAAATGATAAATGTTCCTAAACTAGACGCATTGTTGCAACGACAGTAATGGAGCTATAATAAAATAGTGAAAGACTGACACTTTTGTTAGTTTTTTTAATTTTACTTGTTTATTTTTGGACATAACTTATAATGCATTTTCACAAAAAGATTCCACCCTAGATCTTGGATTATCTAAAGAAATAAAAAGTAAAAAGATTGTGATCACGATGACATTGGATATAAGCTTCTTAGGATAAAGATATGTAGGAAGGATCCGAAAAAGAGTAATAAGAAATATTCCGCTGAACCAAAACCCTTTTTTCCTATTTTAATTGCTATTCTTCAAACGCTTTTATTCCTTTTTCACTAGGAATGCGCCTACGATTATGTGACGCTATACGACGGCGCGTCAGCAGACGAGAAGACGCTTGGTCTTTTCTGCGGGAACCGGCTACCACATCCTATCGTAGCGTCACAGAACCAGATGTACGTGGTCTTCAAATCTGATGGTTCCGTTCAAAGAAGCGGATTCCTGGCTAATCATTCTACTGGTAAGTTAGAATAAATAAAGCATGAAGATGAAAAGATTCCAGGTTCAAATACGGGAGGATGTTATGTTATCCGGTTTGTTAATTTGCATTGGTCTATTTAGTTTTACGATTTGATGCAATGTGCTACTTATGAAGCATTTTAAATCATCAAACCTCAAGCGTACGCGCGTTAGCGTTAGCGCACCTATTGTTCTTGTATAGTGTCTCGAATTACCACGATTGAAATGTTTAATTAAGTCAAATTTTGCTTTTAAACCATTAACACCTTTATATTTTCTTTTAACAACAGCTTGTGGCGGTTACCTGGCAGCAACAGAGGCAGTCCAGCACTTGTACTCGCATGCTCGCTACGGTGACAACGCGTACGAATCTCGGGCTAACTGTGACTGGAACATTGAAGCTCCTCGCAACCACTTCGTGAAGCTCACCTTCTTGACTTTCGAACTGGAACCAGAAGCTAATTGCCACTACGACTACGTGCAAGTGTTTGGAGGATTAGATGGCAGTGGAGGAAATTATGGTACCTTCTGCGGAACTAAGGTAAGACAAATTGAAGATTAGTAGCTTAACACCCATATGAAAGAAGCGTTAATATAAAAAAACAATGTCGGTATTTCCTGTTGATTTTCGTTAGGTTACATCCTATTATCAAAAAAAAGCTCCCAACATTTTTTCCTCTAAATTGTTGCAGATGCCACCTGAAATAGTATCAACTTCCGAAGCCCTCCTCATAAGATTCCGTACAGACGACTCTCTAGTGTTCAAAGGCTTCTCAGCGTCATATCAGATGGTGAAGCCCGTGTGGAGTGAAGAAGACAGCTTGGAAGGCGCTGAGTATGATGAAGAGGAAGATGAGAGGATGCCCCCTTTGGTCGTCGGCAGGAGGGGCCTGCGGGCCTCCATGCCTCGCTTCGTACGTCGTCCTACGTGACGCTGGCCGCTACCCCGACACCCGAGACATCGCCGACCGCACCGCAATAGCCGGACCTAATCGGTTACACCGTTATTTTTTATAATTTGGCAACACTGAAAAAAACCACTATTATCCGAGAAATTTTGACGTTTAGAGTTCATAGTTGCCATATAAAATTCAATTTAAGTACAATTTTTCGACATTATATTTGTTTGTGATGTTAGTTTTTTATTAGATATTATTTTATTGTAGAGCAATGCGGTCAGTTGCTATTATAACAATTACGATAAAGACACTATTTTGAAATGTTATTTTTTACGACTGAATAAAAATGTAAATAAATTAATATTCCTAGTCTAATTTAGGTCTATTACTTAATATAGTGGTTACCATTGTAATACTCGTACGAGATTATGTATGAATCGCGTTATCCATATAAGTGATGTTATTTATTATCATAATGATAATCTAGCCTACTACCAAAGAAATGTTCGTAGCTCTCATTAGTAACAGTTTTTACATAAAGTTTATCGCATTTTCATTATGTATTTTCAAGAGGAAAGCTATTGTAACCGCTAATCGATGTTAGACAAGCGCACATAGAATCATTAATATGCATTTATATGAACTAATCTAATTTAGAGGATAGAATTTGAGACAATATATAATTTTAAGAGCTAGTATAAGATGTAAAAAGTTATTTTATAATAGGTGTTCAATTCATATCAAAACGTGAATACATTTATTGTATATTGTATACTATTGAATAAGCACTTTCCTGAATATTAGAATACCTACCTAGAATTTTGATTATTTTGGCGAACAGAAGTCAATACCTACTCTCTACATTTTAAACTTTTTCCTTAATTTTACTGTAAAGTACACGAAAAGTAAAGATCATCAAAAGAATCAACGATTTATTTTTGCTTTCAAAAGGTAATTTTGATTGTACCTACCTACATAATTTTGTACTTAATAACTAAGAAAACAAAAACTAATACTGCATGTAATTTAACATATTTTTAATTCTTGTTGATTTGTGACAGTTAATACTTTTAATACATAAATATTGAAGTCATATTTCTATCTTTCTTAGTTGTCATTGTGCCAATGGGATACTTAGTTACTGTTAAAATGCCATAGACTAAATTAGGATAGTGTTTTGTAACTTAATTATGAATATTTATACGTAGGAATGTTATTTTTATTAAAATGGAATGAAAATGTAATGCCAACTTGTTTGATTACTTTGACTTTATTATTTTTAGACCCAAACTGTGTCAGTCCATAAAGTACCTCTAAGTAATACTAATGGGAATCTCGTTTATCTTACTTCCTGAGTTTGATATCTGGATTACTAGACAAAATAACTACACGACCAGGGGTGTCGATGGACCAGGTCCGATTCCTGTTTTTTTTTTAATTTACATGTTTTTCATATACATACCTAGTCTGGCCATAAATACTGTTACAATTAAAAATAAACAAAATATTACATTTGAATTTGGAATCTGTCATTTTTATATAATTTTTAATTGTGTTTTCTTATTTTGGCGCCAATAAATTGTTCAATATTTTGCGATATTAAAATGGAGTGGGGTGATAAAGAGAACCGAATCGCTGTGATTGCATTACACAAAGTGGGTATGGAGCCAAATGTAATTTTTAAAACTCTCGACACGCTTGGCATTAGTGAAATGTTTGTGTACCGGGCTATTAATAGGTACAATGAGACCTCCTCTGTTTGTGACAGAAAAAGATCTGGCCGTCCACGTAGTGTTCGTACGAAAAAGTTGGTCAAAGCAGTAAGGGAAAGAATTCGAAGAAATCCTGTCCGAAACCATGTCGCGTATTTTAAAAGACGACTTAGGACTTGCAGCCTATAAGACGCACTGGACATTTTTTAAATGATAATTTAAAAAAGAATAGGGTGATAAAATCTAAACAACTACTGAAGCGGTACGCAAAGGGAGGTCACAGAAAAATTGTGTTTACGGATAAGACAATTTTTACAATTGAGCAACATTTTAACAAACAAAATGACCGTATTTATGCTCAAAACTCTAAGGAAGCTTCTCAATTAGTCGACAGAGTGCAACGTGGGCATTATCCGACTTAAGTGATGGTTTGGTGGGGTGTTAGCTATGAAGGAGTGACTGAGCCATACTGTACAGGTATCAAGACATCGGCACAAGTGTATCAAAATACCATTCTTGAGAAGGTAGTTAAGCCCCTTAACAACACCATGTTCAATAACCAATGGTCCTTCCAGCAAGACTCGGCGCCGGGTCATAAAGCTCGGTCCACGCAGTCTTGGTTGCAAACGAACGTTTCCGACTTCATCAGAGCTGAAGACTGGCCGTCGTCGTCCCGATCTTAATCCGCTGGATTATGATTTATGGTCAGTTTTAGAGAGTAGGGCTTGCTCTTAACGTCATGATAATTTGGACTCCCTACAAAAATCCATACGATTGGCAGTGAAGAATTTTCCCATGGAAAAACTGCGTGCTTCTATTGATAACTGGCCTCAACGTTTAAAGGACTGTATTGCAGTCAATGGAGACCACTTCGAATAAGCTTTTTATGTTTTAAATTGTTTTATATTTATGTATTAAACTTACATACTGTAAAAGTAATAAATGTTATTTGCAATAGAAAAAATATTTCTTTTTATTTGTTACAGTATTTACTTACTTAAACCGATACCCAGAGGCAGGTATTTTTTACTACAGACCAACCTGAAATAATTCTTGTCAACATCATCATCAGCTGGAAGACGACCAATGCAATACCTAATAATGTTCCCTAAAAAGAAGCAACTAGGATTGCCATAATATAAAATAAATGTTTTTCTTTCACTTCCTCTTTTGAAATGTTAACCCGACAGTTCTGTTATAATATTATCTTATCGGTATTCATCTGAAATTAAATGTAGCACTCACTTGGGGATTAATTTTGTGTCAATGAAAAAATGCTCTCATTTAAAAATAACATTTTGACCTATTATAATAGGTAACCTTATCCAAAAAAAAAGAACCTAAATAAAATAAATGTATTATTAAACAGTCTATATCGTAGAACATTGAGTAATAAAGCTAAATTATATAATCAACTTAAGACTTAAGCGAAACATTTAAATTTAAACTTTATGAATTTTATTTATTATACCTTTTTATTTTATGTACATACTTCTTCTACTTATCTGTAGTTCATCATTATTTTACTTTGGCAACATTCCACCATAAACGTCAACTAATTGTTTTGTCATTTCAAAAAGAAAAAGTCAAATCTAGTAATTTATTTATTTCATCTTTAGTAGCGTCTTTTTGACCTAATTACGACAAACTAAACTGAACACGTATTATATTACTTACAAAACGTTTATTTCACCAAAATGACTGCGTTGGCGTTTAAAGTTAAAAGTAAAAATGGTCAACAAATACTTAAAGATTTGACCTCTGATAGCACGGTGGGCGAATTGAAGATGTTTTTGTCAAGTATATCAGACGTTAGCATTGAGAGAGTGAGTGTTTTGTGTGGGTATCCGCCGAAGCCGCTGGATATAAGCAATGACAATCAAAAACTTAGTGACATTGGTTTGAAAACTGGAGAGACCCTCATAGTAGAAGAGAAACCTGCTGCTGCGTCTGTTGCCACTTTGCCTGCTGAGCCTAAACCTGTTGAAAACGGTGTTGCGTCACACGAAACTTTAGTTCCCTGTAGACCAGGCATTTTAATGAAGAAGGTGGTCCCATCAGATAACTCCTGTTTATTTACTAGTATAGGTAAGCATTTAACATTTCTGAATGACAAAACAATTTTCCAATACATATCTTCTTTGTTTTAGTCATTGTTCTGACTGGGACATTGACATTAAGTTGATATTACAAGTATAAAGAGGACACTTATTAAGGTCATACATATGCAAAATATTGCAATGTTTTATTTTAATTGTGTGCATTTAATTTGTAGTTGTTTTAGTGCCTCTATTTATGTAATGTACCTACCTACCAATAATGGTCTATTCTAGAAAAGAGTTGATAAAGATGCTATTGTTATATTACGTGATTTATAAGAACTTTATTACTATAAATATTTTTATAATAGGAACTTAGCAACATTGTGTTCAATATAAGACTAGCTGGAATTGTTTATTTTGTAAATTAATAATTAGACATGGTTTCTATAAATGAATAAATACAGAGTTATTGATTGAATTGTTCAATCAATTTCATTGATATGCTGATAGAGACATACCTCTACTGAGACTCCATACTGCCGTCTAGCACCTAGTTAGAATTATCATTGAAGTTTACACAAATTGGAACACAATTAGAAAACATGATTGAGTTGGATTGGAAAATTGGTCTTTCTAGACCTACATCACTAATGCAGAGCTACTTAATAGACTTTCAGCTCAAAAATTAAAATTGGCATTTGACACATTGTTAAACTTTTTGAGGTGGTGCAGTGTTTACTAATACATCAAAATTATATTACATTTCACATTGTCTAGATACTCACTATTGGAAACTTATATGAAGGTGGCAATACAGGGGCTAAAACTAATAAGACTATAAAATTCCTCATTTTTAATTTATTTTCTAAAACTTAATCTTTCTGTTTTATTTTTTTTGCTAGTTTTGAGTGGTATTAAAATCATTCATAGTATTAAAAAAGTAGTGATTTTAAAATAAAATAAATCTATTCTCACTTTTCAAATTGAATTTTTAACTGTTTCTCATTCCAGGTTTTGTATTAAATGGTAACGTAGATACTACGGTACATACACTAATGCGAGAGATTATTGCAATGGAAGTAGCTAGCGATCTAGAAACTTACAATGAGGCAGTCCTCGGTAAACCTAATGCTGACTACTGCGTGTGGATCCAACAGCCAAGCTCATGGGGTGGTGCTATAGAGGTATTCTTTATTTTTAAATGACTCTATGACCTTACTAGTAGTAGTCTGCATGAAGCCTGCCTATTGAATTTAGATTTCTCCCAAGAGGTTATCCTATACCTCATCCTGTTAGAATATTCACACTAAATATCATATCCTAAGAGAGTCATGATTAATTCCTTAGTGAAAGTAGTTTTTTAAATTGGTTCTTTATAATAGTTCTTAAAAGTCAAAGTTCAGATGATTTATTTCAATTAGACCCTTATACTTTTGAATGTCAACAAACAAAAAAACTTAATTATAGTATATTAAATACCAATCCTTGTATGTTATTTCATCATTTTTATCTATCAAACACAGCAATTGAAATAATATTCTTTATTGCCTCATTCTACATGATTTACTTACCTGTGTGTTATAAACTTATAATTAATTGGGTGTCATGCCGACATAAACTTTACATGTTTGTATAAGACAATAATTAATTACAATTTGCATTAAATGCAGATTTGGTGATTGAGTCTTACACAAGAAGTCTAAGACTTAATTATTTATTATTGTAATTATTATTTAGTCACAAGTGTGTTTATAATTAATGAAGTCATGAATTAAATTCCTTATTTGGGCAGCAGTAGAGCAACAATAGATTGTTATCATCTGATAATAATTTATCATCTCTGGCCTTATTCTTATTAGGATATTACTAGAGAAACAGGCTTGAAAATTTCCTTACTCCTTAAAACAGCACTGCCTAATTTTGTAGCGACCCCCGTCCCGGCTTCGCAAGGGTGTAATGCTGATATAAAATTTCTCCACTATGACGTCCGTAAACGTCATTATACACATAAACCTTTCTCCTCGATCACTATATTTTACAGATTTAAGCATACATAGAGATTGAGAGGGACAGAGAAAGCTACTTTATTTAATACTATGTACTGATGATTAATAATTGTTTGCAGGTAGCGATCCTATCTCGTTTCTATGGGCTAGAAATGGCTGTTGTGGACACACTGAATGCGATTATAAATAGATTCGGTGAAGACAAGAATTATGGACAGCGAGTCTTTCTACTATTCGATGGCGTGCATTATGACCCCCTGTATTTGGAACAAGTCGATGTGAGTATCACACGTTTTCGTACAAGTAATAAGTATCTCATAATTTAAATACTAAATTATTATGTGTATGGGAGAACCATGCTTCGGCACGAATGGGTCGGCTCGACCGGAGTGTTATCATGGCCTCACAAAACCGGCGTGAAATAACCACAGCGTTGTGTTTCGCTGTGTGAGTGAGGTTACCGGAGGCCCAATCCTTCCCCTCCCCCAATCCCTCCTCAAACCCTTTATCTCCAAATCCCTAATCCCTAAAAGGTCGGCAACGCACCCGTAACTCCTCCGCTGCGAGTGTCCATGGGCGGCGCTGATTGCTTACCATCAGGTAATCGGCCTGGTCGTTTGCCGACGTATTACATAAAAAAAAAAAAAAATTACCCACCTACTACCGTCTGGCATCTTTTGAAATGATGCGGTCTAATTTGTTCTTATATAAATTTGCGGTAAAATAAATACAATGTATCTCCTTACTGTATAGTGGTTACGGTTAAAAATATTACTCATTTTGCGATGGGTGAGGCGAGAGGGTTTCAAACTCTTACAGACTAAAAAGCCTCCCCGTTCCTTTTGGTCCGGGCCGGTGCGTAAATTATTGCGCTTCTATTCGCAACCCCGGCTAAGCAGTTAAAGTATTGGAGTATTTTTACACTGGATGTAATTATTTAAGTATTCAACGGTACACCAGATTATTTTAGTGTAGAGAGATCTTGTCAAATAATGTTTCCCTATTTTCCAGGGCGGTATTCAAACAATTTTCCCAACTGAAGATATGGAGATTTATAGAGAAGCGGAACAGTTGGCACACGAAGCCAAGTCGTCCAGACAGTTCACCGACGTGAACAAGTTCACTCTCAGGTGCAATGTATGTGACAAACTCATTACCGGCTACGTCGAGGCACAGAAACACGCCAAAGAAACCACGCACACGAATTTTGGTGAAGTTTAGCAAACAATTACTTAGATAAGGTCTTTCTCTAATTATGATTGTGTCCGCTTGTTGGATAATGTTGAATATATAAAGATATATAATTAGAAGTAAAGCTTTTAACAAGATACTGACAGAGTTTATCTACTTGTCTGTTTTAAAGTTGTTTATTTTGATCGAATAACTTCTTCAATTATCCTAGCGTCTTCCGGAATAGATGTTTCATTCGGTTCTCACTATTTTGGCTGGATTCATTCAAATTTCATTCCTGTTAATATTTCGTACAACGCAATAACCTCATTTTTACTTATAATGAAGTGCACTTATACTAGATGAAATATTCCTATTAAAATAATATAAATAAATAGTCAAGCGGGCACAATCACATAGAATAATTTGTTTAGGATTTTTAATTTTTCCTTATTCCAAGGACCCTATTACTTGAGAGCATAATAATAGTTGAATTCGAGATAAATATTGTTTGTTTCCAATCTTAAATAGGAATTGTTAACGCGAGATTTATTTATATGAGATGACGATGCACATATCCTAGTAACGTCTATTTTGTATTAATTTATTTGTGATTAGTCCTGGGTGTAGTAAATCAATTATTTTTCCACAAACCTTGGCTCGATCGAGTCTGACGCTATAGTGGGTGTCTTTTGTAATAGTAATTATTTATTTTTATGTTGTATATTTTTAGATGCTCAATATTGTTTTTACCAAAGTAAGTTTTTTTTATTATGCGGCCCCTGTCAATTATTTATGAGCACAGACATATAGCATACTTCTCTAGGCAGTTTTTACTCATTGCTTGTCTTTATTGAAAAAACTGCGAATTCGTAGTTTCTTTGTCACTGCGAATATTACCAATTGATTTTATTTATTACAACTACAAAAGTATCGCACAGGGGAAATGAAATAGGTATTATAAACGATATTTCATGTAAAAATGAAATAATACCTAAATACGAAATCGAATTGCATAATGAAATGGACAATAAACATGAATGCCACATTCAAATGTTTAGTTAAACTAGCTTCAATACAAAATGTCGAGTGGAAATGTTTTAAATTATATCTAGGTATGTTGTTATGCAAAAACTGTTCGGCAGTTAGTGTAAGAATCGATATTGTGTGTGTGTAACTGTAACATGTTATAACTAGCAACACCGCATGCGTTGCCACCTTTTCAAAAAGCTCGAGTTAGTTTTGCATTATATCAAATCACACGTAACATGGCAGAAGTCTATTGCGAAGACAATTCAACGAATTTTAGCCCTTATTTGTTTTGTCCTAATGTTCAACCTTCTATAATATTGGCAAGAGAACGTTATTTTGTAATACGGATCATTGGCGGCTTAAAAACGTTGAAAGCGAATGCTATTTATTTTATTAATGTTTCACGTTGTTCAGTCGCCAATGTGAAAGACACGATTTGTAAATTATAAATAAGGCTCAAAATGGCATAAATAAAATTTTGATAAATGGAATATGTTTTATTTGTTATTAGTTTTCTGGATCAGATAAAAAGGTTTTATAGTAGTACATTATAATTATTTTACGCAATAAAAACACACTGGGCAAACATTAAATAATGCAAGGGTGGTGCTATCGCTAAATAGAATTTCCTTAATATCTAAATGAGTAAACTTTCTCTTTGCGAGAACCTTTCTGTTATTTTTTGGAATCATATTTTTAGTCTCATAGTTAATCTTCTTTTCAGCAAAGGATAGCTTAGGAATAAACTAGAGTCTGAGCCAGAATTTGAATTAGAAAGAAAAATAGGAACCTCTCCATAGTGAGATATAGAAATAAATTTGATGATTGAGGCATAAGTAGGTATCGTGGAATGAGCTTGACCTGGAATGGGAACATTCATAAATACATTATACCGGTTATTTTCGAGGATAGTATATGTTGCCCAATTCCGAATTAAAATCTTAATAATATATAGGTACAGCTGAGGTTCCTTTACTTTTTTTCCCATTTTTTTAGACCGTTTAAACATTTTTCTGGATCGTCATGGATAGCTATTTAGGTACTAACCTAATTCAAAAACCCAAAAAAGTATGTCTATGGAAATCTGTGTTGAGGACGTTTTACAGTCAACTATGAGTTTTCAGACAAAAATATGTCAATTTATATTGCTTTGCTTTTAGGTACCTACTGTGCAAAAAAGCGTCTTCATCCAACAGTTTAATTCTCCTACTAAGCACCGACTTCCGATTATTAAAAACTAAAAATAAAAAATTTCTGTTGAGTAGGTAGGTACCTTTTCTGTCAGTAGGTGTAGGTGAAAACCCTCAAATGACTTCTCCCGCACAGGGTAAGGCAAGAGAGAGTGTCCGACTCTTACTGACTATAACTATACGGAGAAGTCGGGACACCTTATACATTTTTATACTCCCCTGTAGGCCGTAAACGAGTTGTGGATCCCCATTTTTTCACACGCAATAATAGACCCCCTGGGGGTCCCACCTGAATCACTTTGGGAATAAATGTCCTTAGGTCCTAGAGGATTAAACAAAAACAGTGAAGTTCTTGCAAACTCCTGGTTTGCTATTTGACGGTTAGGGTGCCTTGAAATGATCTGCATGGAGTTCCCCATTTGTAAATGAAACAACCGCAAACGGGACAAATGTAAAAAATAAAAGAAATCGACGTAAGGTAAGTCCCTACTTAGACGTAAGTAAGTATGGTTACTGATAGTACTTGCCTGGCCAAGTTCAATATCGATAATCATTAGATACCTATTGCTTTATAAACGGAATAAATGCATAAATTGCATTGAGATTTGTGAAGGTGATCGTTAAGTCACATTGTCAACAACTGAAACTGAAATCCAAAATGAATATGTTTCGTTTCCAAAGCGATAACAAGCGAGGCCCAAATTTTTATTTCAAGCTTTTATAATATTTTATCTTGAAAACCTCGACGGTTCTTGATAGACGGTTTTAGGTGTATTTAGTTATTATTTACACCTTGAAAGTAGGTAATCCTGTTGGCACCCATTATATATTTCTTCAACTGTAAAGAGCTATTTATCATCATTCGTCACAAATAACGTCATGCGATATTTTAAATTAACTAATCATGGTATTTTTTTAGTTTATAATCAACAGTATGAAATACTTAGTATTTTTTAATCTACATAATTATGTAGGTACTAATACTAAGTAAGATGACCACTAAATACTGCTTATTGGGCTTATTTCAGGTCTCATAGAGACGCGGCGATCATGATTCCGATTCGTCATACATTGCTTATAATCTTTGTATTAGCGCCGGCTAAGACGCTGATTTCTAAAGCAATGGCGCGTCATTCCTTAGTCGACGGGTTTGCCTTGGTTTTAAAATAAAATACAGTAGTAAGGGTTTTATTCGATTTATTATTAACACAAATGTACAATATCAATAAATATAGTCACATCAGCTTTCTATCATCTGTTCGTTAAACTATGATTAACTTTATACAATGTTGTTATACAACATTAACTTATTATTACGCTCGATAACAAAATTGTGCATTCGAAATTGGGCCGCCTTTACTTTGTTCAATTTTAAAACGAGGTAAAATTTAAAATTCGCATTTCAAATGCGTTTTTAAATAAAGTAGTATGCCTTTTAATGTTGTCGCTTTATATTTCTTAATCTAGAAGTCGATAGTGAATTCATTTCTTAAAAGATTTATAACCTTATATTTATACCAATGTAATCAAGTTTAAAATCAACTAATGAAATTTCTGACATGTCGTAGCGACTTAAGAGTTATTCATAATTTTCTCCAAGACTTCTAGATCATAATATAAAAGTAGTACAAAATTTTAACCCATTTTAAAATTGAACATTTCGATACAGTTTCAGGAACTAAACGGCGTAAATAACTAAGCGTATACACAGCTCTTTATTGCTAAAAGGGTGAAGATAATATAGAAGACGTGCCCAAACTACAGCAATCATTTAGAATTATCAATATCTATATAAATTTCTCGCCTTGTTCACGCAAATCTTATTTCGTTCAAGGTTTGTCAAAACATGGCAATTTAAAAATAGAACTCACATTTGAAATGGTGAGTTCTTAATATCTGTTTATGTCACAGGCAACTAGCTTAATTAGCTATTCAACCAACAGCCTGATTGACAAGCCGTTTGATCGAATGGCTGAACGTATTTCGGGTGTTAGTCAAAGCGCGAAATGATTGTCATGAAACTCAAGTTAAACAGGCTAGGCTGTTGATTGGATGGCTTAAAAGCTAGTAGGCTGCGAACAAACATCTATTAAACATTTTAATTCGTTCCTCGTTTACAAATTTGAACTTTATTTTTATATTTCTTGGGACATCTTATCTAGTTTGTCTAGGTTAAACATTGTGGGGGGGAGTGTTTTACATTATTGTAGGCTTTATAAATAGATATTTTATCTTTTTAAGAAAAAGGCAAATGGATGTTTGAAAGCTCTAAGAGATATGGATTAGTTAGACGTCTTACAATACCATATTAATAAAATTATTTTAACAAAAAGGTTGGTATACGCAAATTCAAGACACAATTTCATTTGTATTCCACTCATTTCGTCTGGCTATATGTTAAACAAATAAAATATAACAATAAGTTCGCTTTGATTTCGATTTTACTTAAAAACTAAAGGCATTCTGATATGTTACAATTATCAATATTTTTATAATAATAATAATAAATACTTGTTATTTAAGGAACTGTTCAAAAATATTCGATTTTCTAAATGCAAAATACAATCGAAAAAGTTTTTTTTTATATAAAAAATATACAAGTGTTCAAAAATCTTAAAGCAACTAAATGTGTGTTTTATATAATTATGGCAGTGTATTATATATTGTAAGTATAAAAAAATGCAGTAACATTTGGAAAAACAATAATAAATTACGAAAAAACAACCTTAAAAGCAATTAATAAATACTAATAAAGCTTAAATTGATATCAATTTGTAACATATCAAATGCAAAAACAAATCTAAAAAGTTTCGACTTTTTCTAGTCTTTAAAATGCTAGTAGGTGCATAGACTACGGTGTTACCTTCATACTAAAATAGCCTACTGAGAGTGAAAATTGGATACAAAAACCGACACTATTACTAAGTAATAAAATCGTAATTTAAATCAAATTATTACTGCACATACTGTCTTTAATTATATGAAAATCCATATAAATAGTTTTGCTTTATATTTAGGGCAAGTTTTTTTACAAAGAGAGCTTTAGTTTTCAACATAGAATACGTAATTACGATTATAATCTCAAAATACATATTTAAATGTGAAATAATTCAATTCAAACAGTAGTTTTGCACAGCCGATTAGGAACATTTTGGCAAATTATATTTAATTTACATATTTTTAAACACTTCTCGCATGTTTGCAGTTCCGATCCTTAAATGTTAAATATATAGTTCACTATATAAAATATATAACATAGCACCAAACCATTTACTTTTTTTAGCATAGGCAGAGAACTGAGAGACCACCTACTTATCGCCCATTTTTATTCGTTGGTATACTGACTATCAATATTATAAAAATCCTACCATTTTTCAATATTATAGATAAAACTTGAAATCTCACATATTTATATGGATTTTCATACTAAAAAGGACCAGTAAGAAGTATTCATGCAAGCAGTATGTCTACCGTCTTTTGAACGGGCACAAATTTTATAGGAGTTTTTTTTAAGTAGGTATATTAATAAAAATCGTGACGTGTTTCAGGGCGGTTCATAGGTTATTTCATTGCATTGTACTGAAGAGATTATACACTAAGTGTTATAAAACTTACTCCTATCACACTCTTGCTTAGATTAACTATATTTTTTATATATTTATAATGCAACAAAAATATTGTAAGGTCTTGCCAACATTTGGCTGCTTGAACATACTATTTATTTATATATGTAACAATGCCACCTTTTAATCCCTGGAGGGTAGGCAGCGCAGAGGTGGTACTATCGTATTGTAAACAAAGCTAGTTAATAAATATTTTAGATTACAAAAATCTCTTGAATAACGTGTGATTAAAATTGTATGAAAACTTTTTTTATAATCCTTAATCTCACTTTGTAAATGTCTTACATCCGTTATAGTATGCTACATTATATTTTTATACACAATGCGTTTTTGGAAAAAACACTATCAGCACCTAATAGACAACTATGCTTCTTACGAAATTTCCACGGATTTTCTACCAAAATCGGTACGGTTGATGGTAGAAATTGCCATATTATGATGCTTTTGGTAATATTTTTTGTGGATTTCACACGTCGCATCTTTGATTTTCGTACGAAATTCATAGAAACAAACTGTTTTTATGTACGTATGTATTGTAATTGTGTTGTATAGTAATACATAGATTACTAAAATGGGTATATTCAAGATTCAAAACATGATTATAATTAACTGCTGATAATAATTAATCCAAAAAGACGCGAGTGTCAATTTCTGAATATTAAAAATATCTACGTGCATCTTCAATCCTTACTATTATACTACTGCGGCGCCGGCGCAGGTTTGGGCGCAGACCAGCGAGGCAATGAGATACCGAACTTGGTCTCCAATCCCGTTAGCACTGGCAGCGCCACCTGGTAGCCGCCAATGTGATGTGGTTTCTTCACAGATTCCTCGATAGGTGTCGCCACGTGTAACTCTGAACCGGCTGGACGTCTGTAAAAGAGATTATGGGTTAAGTGATTTACAAAGAGCGGAAATTTGACTGTTTGAAAAAAAAAAATGGTTTGAAGTTAGAATGTGTCAATAGTTTGAAAAATTTTCAGTAAGTTTTTTTTAAACGTTGCCCTTACTAAGATTACATTTCTCTTGTATCGTGGGTACGTTTACAGATATACAATTTCAGATACACATCAAACCCAGACACGGAAAACAGTTTGTAGATCACATATCTGTATGTGTATCACATATCGACCACACAAAGTGGTGTTCCGTGCAGGAATTGAACCCGCAACACATTGCGAGGGAGCCAGTTGCCCCATGCAGTTTCCCAGTCACCGCGTACACCATGCAGTCAAGTTACTATTATTAAAAAAGAATACAGATTAGTTAAGAACTTTTGTGAAATTACTTCTTTCATGCCGTAGAAAAGTTGTGATGCTTCTGTACAAACGTTTTAGATATTTTTCTATCGAGTCTTAAAAAGAGTTTTTATTGAGACGTGGTACTTACGATCCTCCGAAATCGACGAAGAACAAACGCTGGAGAATTTCATAAGTGACGAGTGTTACACCGAACTGTGGTGAAGACCGGAACACTCGGGCGACGGCTCCCTTCCAGAATGCGCGCGCGCCTTCCTCCGCGTAAATCTTGCGCGCCGCGTCTATTACGCCTGAATACGTCGTCTGTCCTGATCGAGCTACCACCTAGAAGGAAAAAAATTGAATTATATTTTTCCATTTCCATCATACTGGAAATATTTTATTCCATGACTTAATGTCATGGAAAAAAATATTTTACGTTTTCATACGAGACACAATTTCAGTGGCTTTAAATGGTGTCCAGTGTGATTGCATCGGCCACGTTTCAAGTACCTACCTATTTTGTGTTATTAAATCTATTTATAAAAGTTTCAAAAATATCGTGTCTTCCCATGTGCTGAGTTTTTTTCATGGACAGGGCAACAAACGAGCGAATCGAACCCCCGCAAAACCTGAGGAGTTGCAAGAGTGTTGTCGGCCTTCATGTAGCTACTAGGTTTAAGAAATGGTAAAGGAGAGCTATCATTTGCCATTTGTGCCGAAGCATGGATGTCCTACACTTGGGAGTTTATGAAAAAATGCAATACTTAAATGCAAGAGAAACAGCGTATAATCGAGAGAGAATATAACTTGTGAAAAGGACCTCAAAAAGGAATTACGATTTTTTGGATGATTAATTCGAATACGTACCTGCAAACGAGTCTTGATGACGTCTGCGGGTGTGACGAGCGAGGCGGCGGGGATGCCGGCGATGGCACCGGCCGCTAACAGCGTCAGGGGGTGGTTGTAGCCGTTCTCATCCGCGAATTTAGCCTGGAAAATAAAAACAGGATGAAGTTAGATATTCCGCCACAAGAAGTTAATGGCTGAAGTTATATTTAATGTCAAAGCCATTATCATTTATTCTAACTAAACCATAAATTTTGGAAAAAAAGGTACTTTTGAATCGTCGAAATAGAATAGTCGTCTGTCATTTGTATTGTATTTTCGTTTTGAGAACTGTTAGCGTACGTATATTATGTATATTAGAAATAATTCAACTTTATACAGTTATTTTAAAAGGGATTACGTAAGCTTAATTTGAGTTAAATGTAAATTCCGGCCTTTATAGCGGGCAAAAGTCGCTTGAAAAACGATTTTACTCAAAATTATACTTTTATGATGAGGATATAATAAAGCCCAATTTCATACAACAGCTATTCTTTTTAAACAAAAATACAATCTATAATTCTTCCAAAACTTACCTTAACATGAGCATAAGCTGGGAAGTAGATAGCGCTGAAAGGCACATCTCTTAACAGACAGGCCTTCGCCCCCTTGTAGAGGCCGAAAAGGCCAAGGTCCTTTACAACAGACCACGCCCTTACTTTGGACCCACCAGCGATTTCACCAGCCACTTGCAAACGAATCTTTACAATTTCTAGAGGATTTGTGAACACTACTTGTGAGCCACCGGCCTGTAAGAAAGAAATAATAATAAAGTTGTTATAGTGTGGGCAAAGGCGAATTTCCAAACACCTCATAAGCGACCCAATTTTTTTTCTGAGATTCACTTCTACAGCTGTTTTCTGAGCCTCCTATTGGCGCCTCTGCCTAACTACTAGGCGCTCTAGACTGTAGTCTGGATCTAGGCGCACGATATAATTTTATCATCTTTATCATCATCATCATCATCATACAATTAAATAGGTAACATACAATTTTAACGTGTGTTTTTGCGATACCATTATTACGTGTTTGTAAAAGGCGACATATTACGATAAATAGGAAGTCATTACCTACTCCAAGATAAAAGTAATTCATGTTTTTAATTCTTAGCATTTAATTATAGAACTCTCGTTGAATTTGATGTTAAGATCAAATTGTATTACACTGTCAACAAAAGATAGTTATTTTTTTAAATTAAAAATTTACTTACACAACCACCAGCCAGGATCTCTGCGTACATTGATATATTTCCCTTTTTATCTGTGAATTTGTCACGAACGAAGTCATTGACCTACGGAAAAAATACAATATTTTATTAACATTACCTTAGGATTACTCCTCTCGCAAGGAGAATATATTTTATTAGACGTTACTCTACATTAGGTAATTGCATTTTATGCTGTGAGAGGCGTTTGAAAACATAAATAACACCCAGACTCAAAACAACAAATAGTAAATTATAATTCGGAGTAATTTTAATAACTTTTTTGTGATTGTGACGGGCAAAATATTTAAGATTTCATTCGCCCATGCTAAGGTGAGAGTGTGAGACTCTCATTGAAAAGAAAACCAATTAAATAGAAAAATAAATAATTATAAAAGACATCCATACTTACCGTCAATTTAATAGCTTTCTCGGGGGCCACTCCAATCAATTGTGGTACTAATCCTCTGTATAAGCCGAAGATTCCTTCATGCCGAATGACCTTCTTGAAACAGTCCCAGGAGTTTCTATACGCCACTTCACCAATGAATGAGCCTGTACGTTGGTTCTGCATACGGGTTTTAACTAAGTCGATGGGGTATACCGCTGAAGCACCGACGGCTATAAAACAAAAAAAAAATGGTATTAATTTTGTTATAAAAATAAGCTTAATATAATAAAGCTGAAGAGTTTGTTTGTTTGAACGCGGTCATCTCTGGAACTTCTGGTTCAGATTGAACAATACTTTTTGTGTTTGTTAGTCCATTTATCGAGGAAGGCTATAGCCTATAAAACATCACGCTACGATCCGTAGGAGCAGATCAGCTGGTGAAACCGCGCGAGAGTTGCTAGTTTACAATGAGATTCAACAATGTAACGCTTATTAAAAATAAATACTAAGCGACGTCGCCGCGACGAGCACGTTGCTCATGTATAAGAGTCCCGTTGTGACTTGAAACTTGTAGAGATTTTGTCTCTTAAGTCACGTGTTCAAATTGGGAATATTCCACGAGTTACTTTTAAAAATGTAACGCTTGATAGCAGGACTTTTTAACATAATTTCATAAGCATAAAGATTAGAGATGATTTTGTATTATTTTCAAAATAGAAATCATGGTCTAATTTTTAATCTTATACACTATTATATAAAAAACAAATTCGAATACATACCACCAGCGACAGAACCGAGGGTGAATCTGTAAGTGCTCTCCAATATTTGTATCAACACGCCTCTTTCTTCCGGACTCTGTAACAAACATACAGACGTATTTACCGTACTCTATATACATATATATGTAGCTAATTTTATTTATAAGAAAAATAAGAGTATAGTCGATGCTTTGTTTTGTACAATACTGAGATAAAATTATAATCAAGAAAAAATATTCTATTTTATATCAAGATTATAAAATAGAAGATTGAACAAATTTTTTTTCTTTTGGTTTTTGGCTTACTTTGATGCCGGCTTTTTTGTTAAAATTACCTTATTTATAGCCTATAGCACTCAGGAGCACTGTAGCTATCTATCAGAATTTTCAAAATCCAACCAGTGTTTGCAAACATTTTCATTCATTGCTCTTTATATTAGTATAGATAGATGGGTACTACGTTTGGCCGCTATCTCGCTTGGTTGTAAGCGGTGTTGCGTTCTACGCAGTACCCATTAGCGTTTACTATATATAAGCATTGAATCATGTCAAAAAGCTAAACAGTTTTCAAGGAAATGATTGATCCTCAACAAAGAGAAAAAAAATTATTATAACTTTCGTGAGACATTCTAAATTATTTATTATGTTTTCGGCTTACTCACGTAATAATTTGACGAGATACTCGACTAGTTTCAAGCCATGCTAGAGGCATGCTACAGTCGCCGAGTCGCGTGTCGCGGAATGCTGCTCATGAATATGGGCCTCTAGCATGGCTTGAAACTAGTCGAGTATCTCGTCAAATTATTACGTGAGTAAGCCGAAAACATAATAAATAAAAGAGAAAAATACATAATTATTATTATATTATTTATCTCAATATTGTCTGTAGTAATGCATGTGTCAGAGTGCTATATTACTTAGCATAATATCGATTTGCTATAGTGATTGGCCTGGCATACATTTAGCATACAGAGTATGAGGTCATGGCCATGAAATTTTGGTATAAACATAATTATCGGAGGTTGTTCATGCTGTAAGTGATGTATGGAGAAATTTATAAAGATAATAGAAAAAAATCGTGTACTTTTCACTATTCTTCTTATTTATAGGTATTTAATTAATATTAACAAAGGACTTTGGATGCAATCTTAAGTATTACGTAGATACACTCTCTCTCGCCTAGTCCTGGGCGGGAGAAGTCATTTCATGATTTTCCCCAGACAAAAAAAAGTATTACGTAGATGCGCAACAGAAATCTCATACTTGCGCAAAACCATTCAATATTTGCGCAAACTTAGGTGGGTTTTGCTTAAGTTTTAGATTTATGCGCAAACGTTATATTTTTATTAAAATACCTAGGCAGCAATTAATATTAAGATTTGTAAGGAAAAATATTAATTAATTAATTAAATTAAAAAGGTTTTTTTTTTGTTTTGGTAGACTGTAGCTACTAGCTACGTATACAAGATGGCGTCCAAACCCATTTTAAAATTAAATGCCGAAAGTCATTTCAAGCTGCAACTCTGACATGAATCTGTAATTTAGTTCAAGAAGAGGTTTCATAAGTCAGATTTATAATTGTAAATAGTAAACTAAAGAATTGAATGTTTTGAATATAAAGACAGTGAATTTTTGGTAACTTAGGTTTAGCAATAAATTCTAGCATACTGAAGACTTAGTTTAAGCTTATGCAGTAATGATACGACTTCTGTCTTCTCACGAAGCTAGCTTATTACAGTATTATAATGTAAATCTTACCAAAAACCCAATGTCCAAAGAAATAAAAAGATAGAAACATCATAAACTCCCCCAACCTTACTTACCAGAATTCGTTCCAAACAGTAAACAAATCGACAAGGCTCTAACATAGTTACCTCCTCCTTTTTAAGCATTGAAAGAAAGAGAACAATATACCTGTCAGTTAGTGATGTTTCCAAAACAAAACACAACTCTTATACTATATACATTAAGTCTAAATTACACTAAACATACATTTGATTACGAAGGCTGCTCCTGGAAGTTTTGTGGTTAAAAAGGGACGGCGATATTTGTTAGTACGGGTGTGATAGAGAGAGGATACTCACGGAGACAGCCTTGATTTCTGCGACGCGCCGCGTTACTTGTTTGAAGTACTGTTCTGGTGTGATGGAGTTGAGATCATTGTATACAATTCGACTGAAAGAAAGAAAAAGTAGGGTACACTTAATATATTTTTCAATATATCAAATTATTTTTGCATTTTTTTTGTCAGAGAATTTAAAAAACCAAATAGCATGGTAGCTCTTTTTAAAATACAGATATTCGTCAGCCGTCTGGATTTTTAGAGCTGAATATGTTAGAGTCCGTTGTTGAGATAAAGCAATCATATTGTTTGTTAAGAATTATTGGTTATTAAGCAGTTTACATTCAGTTTACTGTAATAAAATATATAAAGAATCATGTGCAATAAGAAACGAAAACTGTTCAGTTTCTGGTTGGGACCATTTTGTATGTATCAGTCGTTATTATAGTGTGAAGACCTATTTTTTATAGGTGTGTACATCAACATTTTTATTTTAGATCACGCGCATTCCTTTCAAAACTGAACCAACCCTCTAGAGACGGGAGTGGAACTTGTTACCCACGTGTGGTCTGATCCCCCTTCGCTGACGCCAACAATGTAATAAGACTACAATTTAGAATGAATATAGTACAAAGAAAATTTTGAAGACAATTTGGAATACTTAAAAAAATATGGATTGTACGAAAAATTTACAGAATGTTAAGATGGTAAGATGATAATGATAACATGGACGGTTTACAACGATTAATGAGAAAAGGAGAGTATGTTTGTATGGGTGTTTCTTTAATTGGACGAATTGTCAAGAAATAAGTGATGAATCCGTAAAAAAATATGAACATAAAACCAATAGAACAATTCTGGTTGGCATTTTTAATTCATCTATATATTTTTTTATGTAATTAGAAATCAAAAAACCTAGTTAGGTATGTTATAACCGAAACGGGAATCAATCCGAAGAAAAGGACGCATTTTCGATTAAAAAAAGACTTTTAAGAATTAAATGCATTTTTCGCTTGACTTTAGGTATTTTCTTGGTTTGTAGGTCAAAGTATCACGCGAGGGCTTCGTGCCAAGATATTGGAGGCCAATGTTTTTTTGAGAAAAGATAATTAGCGGTTGAGTAACGAGACAGGTTGGTGCCACACGAAAATGGACGCTTTTATAATTTGAATTTGTTATTTTTGGCATTGCAGTTGTACGGGTGATGACTCAAAAGACTAACGATTGCGACACAACTATGATCACATTTTGTTATGATATGAAATTCCCGTTTTGCATGAAAAAATTTAAACGAATATTTTAATTTGAAATGCGATGAAAATGTAACACTAATAAATAAACAAATGACTACTTTTGGAAAAAGAATCCCATGTTTTTAAAACAAAATTAATTAGCCTTAGCCTAACAAAAACTATTTTGATTTGAAATGGCCAGTACCTACTGCAGAACGGCAATTTCATAGGTAAAGACCGACAAAGAAGATAGAAGATGATCGTATTTTGTTTCGATTGGAAATACATAGTTTTTTGCGACACCGAATTTTTGTATATTAACAAGATCAATCTTTACCCGGGTTAGTGATACTGTGATGTATAGACTTTTTTTAAGCCTGCTCTAGATATAGGTAGTATCATTTCTGAGGGTAAATTTTCTGTAGTACTTCAATTTAGAGTAAGTTTTGATTAAATTTTTAATTTAATCGATATTTGTTTATTTATTTTTTGCACTACAGTCCGGTCGCAGAGCAGGATGAAATTCGTACAATGACCTCTTTACCTACTGACAGTGGTCACAAACATTTTTGTATAAAGTGCAGTTTATAATATTTGAAGGAAAAAAAATACTAGCTTATTAAATAAATTATTTCTTTATTGTTAATTTTAATAACAAAAGAGAAAGAGAACTAACAAAAGAGAACTAACAAAGAACACAAACTAAGATAACTGAGATTACTGTCCGAAAACTGAGCGATCACTAACGCATCCCGAGATGGAATGTCGTTCATTAAAAAATTATGAATTATGTCAAGTAAGCCATGTCATGACTCAAGGCCAACCAAAAACAAAAACCACAAACAAAAAAAAACAGAGCTTACAGTAGTAGGTAAAAGGTTCACAATCCCTGAGTGCCGCGGTCATTGGATTTGTGCGAGCGAGACGCATCATATTTACGCGAGAATGACAGAGACAGGTAATAACAGGCCATTGTACGAATTTCTTCCTGCTCCGCGACCGGACTTTAGGCGGTACATAGGTTTCTTAATGCCTTAGGGATTTTATACCAGTCGAGTCGTGGGTATGCAGAGAAGAGTTAACGGTTGGTGCAAGAAGCAAGCAGACAATGTTACTACTTACTAGGACACACATCAATATTATCTGAGCCTATTATTTGTACTTTATTCCAGAAAATACCTTTTAATAGGTATTTCTAATATTTAATGTATTTACAGTCAGATTAGCTTATTAGGAAATATTTTTTTATGGATTAAAATTGTTTCTGATATCAAATAAATTTATTCCCGAAATCAATATTTTCATTATTTGAACTTAATACATTAAATATATGCTTGCTTATTATATAAAAAATGGCTGTACAATTTTACGTAAGCAAGTGGGTGGAAATAAAATATTTATTTTTAATTTGTAACCGCGAATTTAATAAGAATGACGCGTCTATATCTATTCCGAATGGTATTACTAATAAGCGAAATCTTTGCTCATATTTTAAAGTGACTAATTTATTTATCAATTTTAATTTAACCCAATTTAGCTTATAAATCAAATCGAATTCGCTGTAATTCATTTAGATTTCGAACTTAAATTAATTTAGTATTTTAGTGAATAATTAAATAAATGATATAACAATTATACAGAAATCATAATGAAGTAATTGTTATAAATTCTATTATTAACACATTATATGTCATCGCTAGTCAGGCAAGGGGTCAGTAGATTACCTTGCGCTGGTAATCGACTGACCCCTTGTCTGACTATGGTAATCTATTGACCCTAATTTGTATGCTGAACTGGATCCATTTTGGCGTAGACTTAGGACATGCCATACCATAGAAGAAAATAATAATTATATTCAAGTACTAACGGCCTACTAAGCTGTTCTTGACTCTTGATTTTCATGAAAATATTTTTTATTTATATTTTAATAAATTATCTTAAAACGCAAGCAATAAAGTTCAAAATCAAATGAATCTCTTGAACCACTTTCGATTTTTAAAGTGTATTTTTCCTTGTGATACGCGATTCCGTAAAATACAGGTAATATTCATAATTGATTGTTGCTACGGCATGTAAGCGGATAAATTAACATTATAAATTAAATTACGAATAAATTACGTAATTATAAAATTCCAATGTATGGTTACACAAACGATTTCTTTTAAAGTATGATTTATTGCAGTGGCCTAATTACCTATGTTTGTTTTATGACACATAAGTATTAATTTGAACCTTATTAGTCGAATATTAACCAACATTATCGCATGACGAATGTTTTCATTTAATCATTTTTGAGTCACTTTCTCTATGTATGGATATCCTTACAGGTACAAAAGGTCAGACCCTGGTTTAATGTTTTACTACCACTCACTCCTTTCGAGATGGCCCAATCATACCGAATGCTCTCCTCACGTGAAAACTGTATGCATGTGGCTAACTTTTGATGATGATGATTATAAAGATAAAGCCGATACGACCATCAAATATAATACGATATACGAACATGAAATAAAGACTGGATGAATGGCGAGCCAACTGGCTGGAGCGCAACGTGTCGCGGGTTCACTCTTTGCGTGATCCACAAATTGTCGTTCCGGGTCTGGGTGGGATGTGAATATGAAATTGTATATTTGTAAACGCACCCACGACACAGGAGAAAATCCTTTTGTTGGGCAACGTTTTTTTTTTTAATGAAATATTCAAATAACGAGCATACTCCTCAATAGGTGCTGACCTATTTAGTTTAGCATGGGTAGCACTGATCACTTACCATCAAGTATTTCAAGAGCATGTTTGCCTCCGAATTTATAGAAAAAAATGGTATTGACTTACCCGTTAGTGTGATGTATCATATCACACAGAGTGAACAATATATCGACTTCTAGGGGCGTGATCTGTGACATCATCTGAGCTGAATGTAAGAACTCTTCCTTCGTTACTTCTTGCGTTCGAGTACCATTGGTAGCGTTAAGGTAGACTCGCTTGATCAGCTCCATGTTGTTAAGAAGGGAATTGAAAGCCATGTAGTAGGGGAAACTGATCTTGCGTTCTCCGTGTGGGAAGCCCGAAGCCTGGAATGTCAGGGAAAAATTGTTTATTGGTATTCTAGTATCATACAGAATTCATGATTTGGCGGGACTTTTGATGACTCCTACATATAAATTATATTAATATTTACTATATTAATCGATTTATAATTATGACTCCCACACAAAGTTCAATATTATTTATTTTATTATTATTAATTATGTGATGTAATGGATTTGTCACTGTGAAAGGATAAGTCCAGATACTTAATATACACTTTGGTATAAGAAAAAGCTTATCCGGTAGTTTCCAAATATAATTCATATTCATGCGTATTATACATATTATTCGAAATATATTTCTATATTGTTTGATTATCATAGATATTTTTGCCTGTCCTAAGCCAGATTTAAAGTATGAAGGGAAATGCATTCATACCTACGTCGGCGTCGGTCATTGACCGCGCAGAAGTTCTGCGATAAGTGCTAGGGTGTCGAAACGTTGTGAAATGTTTACGACTTTTTTGGAACGGTACGTCATTGATCAGGGTTTTTTTTTATTGTTTATTGGTGAAGTCTATGCATAAACTATTGGGGGTTTGAATAAGTGCCTCGTTCAAATATACATACTGTATATTTTCTATGTATTTTGTATGTGATCGCAACATATGACTTGTTTTTACGTTAAATACTATACATATTTCTAAATTGTTAATTTGCATATAAAAATCTAAAATTCTTAGGAACGAAACCTAAACCTAAAACCTTCTTTCTTGTAATATTTAATTGGAAAAAATAATGTAATACTTACATTAATAACTTTAGAATTCAACTCTTTAGTCAGAAGATGTTTCTTGACAGACAGCATGATATCTCTGAAGTCTCCGGCGCTGATAAAACCTGTTCCATCTTTGTCGCACTTCTTGAAGGCTTCCACTCCGTACTCTTCGTGGAAGTCGTGGAGAAATTGGCTGAACTCAGGATACGTTACCAATCTCTTCTTGTCCTTACCGAAGTACAAACGGACGAACGTACTCTCCATGTTGAATGGGAGTTTTTGATGAAGGGCCGTCTTTCGCATGACCTCCGCAAACTCGTCTGGAATTTGGAGGGATTTTGGTGGTTTAGAACGGTTTTTGTTATGTACCTTAGGTAAAACTAGGTACTTAATGTGACATTACTCAAATTGATCCTTAAAATAAAATAAAATCATTTTATTTCAGACGTTAGTCCATAATTTTCAAATCCATTACATTATTATATTATGATTGCATTATAAATTATTATCATTATTACATTATATTTATGTTATTAATTTATTATATTATAGTATTATATCGTATTTTATAATTTATTTTTAAATCAATTAAATTGAAGTAGCTAGTAAAAAAAATCTTAACCTCTTGCCTGCCGGTATATGACAAACAATAGAAAGCGCATTGTGTCTCGCGTGGATCTGCGCTTTGGCCATATCACGGGTTAATTTAGGTATCGAAGTTCTGGGCGAAAGGTTCAGGTATTAATTTTGCAAAAAATGTTGAAAAAGGGATACAAATATTAATAAACTTCTGCAGAAAATGGCACGTGTAAAAAACACAAACTAGATGATATTGATATGATCTAGGTAATTATAAAATTCATCCTATAAAAAATTCGAGAAAATTTAAGATTTTTCTACTAGGTAATAATTTATTGTAAAACTTACCAAAAGCGACGAGTCCATTGCCATTAGTATCGAAGAGTTGGAAGGCGGTCTTGTACAGCGCATCGGGTACGCAGAGCAGGCCCTCAAACGCCTGGAACTCCGAGAACGAGATGTAGCCATCTTTGTCCATGTCCACGATGCCCGCGATGAGCTTGACTGACTCTGCATTGTAGTCATCTGGAAGACGAAAGAGTTTTGGTGATGTTACTTATCTAGATTAAGCTGAAAGTTAATATGCTAGGACGCACTCTCTCTCGTGTCACCCTGGGCGGAATAATAAATTTGATGAGTTTACCCTGACAAAAAAAAAGTAGGTCTCTGTTTTATTTTCTTTTTTCATTAATATCTGACCAGTGGATTAACTAAACGTATCATTATAATTTCTATTGAATCGATATAATGACGTTACACACACGTAACGTTAATTATATAGAAAATTATTATGTCAACGCACTTTATGTCCTAGTTATGGGATATAGGTAAAATAACACATTTACGTCGATAGAAAAACATGGACATGACGTCATGTGACGTCAATAAATTGCAAAACATTTAGTAATAGAAGGAACTATGAAATTTACAGTGATGTACCTAAAAACACAAAGTTCGTTAAAATATGTTGTTGACATACGCAATAAGAGTCATTCCAGGATAAATTAAAAAAACAGTATGCACACGGTTCGCGTAGGTATGTGTACTTACGTAATTAAGGGGAATTATATTAATTGTTTTTGGTCGCCACAGACGACGACTTATATAATTGACGACACACTTTCATTTACTACAACGTACCTATTACATAACAAAAAACAGCAAGTCTAATTTTTCATGGATCCATACACTATTATACACTATTATCCACATCTCCAAATCCCCAATCCCCAACCCCCAAAATGGCAATTCCTCTGGTGTTTGCGTGTGTCCATGGACAGTGCTTAGGTACTGTTTACCAAAGGCTGGTAATGTTTGCCATTCCACAAAAAATGTTTTGCGACGTCGGGACATGTCATTATGATTCATTATCGGATGAAGATAATTATGGTCATCGTACAATAAATGCAACTAAGCTATTCAATTACCAAACCCCAAGCAAACGCCGTTCGCGCAACTATTGTTTTTTTATTGTGTCTCGAATTGAAAGGTGAAGTTGCTTACTTAAAGATAAGTACTTAATTAAGAAAAAAGTTAAGTTGGAAATCCCTATTAACACCTGACTACACATCTATTTGTCTGGCGTTTTACATCACGATATTGAAATCACGAAATCATTAAGTGTTTGAGTTTCAAGGAAGAGCATTATGCTTCAGAACGCTTAGCCACGATTTGGGTTATCCAAAGGTATAATCCGTCGAGGATATTTATATCAAACTAGTTACCACCGTGGGGTATCGTCTTTAAGTATTTTTCTAAAGTCTTTCTAGCCTTCCTTAATAATATTGCTTATCTAACCAATAATTCGGCAGATTCATTCAAAGTCAAACAAAGTAAGAAACAATTCAGATATAAGAAAAATGGTGTAGATAGGTTACATAAACAACATTCGATTTTCAAATACGGCACACTGATGCACACATGAACAATTCGTATGATTGCACGTCAAAGTGGGATGGCATGATTCAATAATCTCGAGTGAAAAAGAGACAAATATTAAAAAGTTGTGGCTAGTTAGCCACATTTTAATGTATCACTTGCTGAGCGCTAATGACCTATCTAAACCTTTTTACTTATAATATCATTGGATGTAGGTAAGCATAAAACAAAAAGTATCGCTGAAAAAAAAAACATTCACTCTCACATCCATTGACCATTCCTTTCTTGGCATCGACATCTTGCCCATGCCAGGTTTGTCTCTGCCGAAATTTTAAAGTATATAAGGGGTAAGATTTACCCGGAGCCAACGACTTTATTATGGAATAGATGGAAGGAAGGAGGTTAAATATCGAGCCGAATCAAACCTCTTTTGTTTTACAAAGCCCTTAGGGTAAGCTAATAAGTAGGCTAATAAAACCTTTTTTACAAAGATAATTATAATAAGTCAAGGTCGTCATCCTAATTGGATAGAAATAACACAATTTAAAAAAATGCTAAAGAAACACTCATGAATGCAATCGGCTGATTACAAAACAATGTGTAATATTAGTCTAAATTAGGTTTTTGATAAATAATCCTTACTATAATAACATGTTATACGATGACTTGCAAGTAAATTACTTTTCACTCAGCGTGCACGCTGCGCACACGCATAGTACGTGATAATAACGATATCGACATTGATAAGTTAATTAGGTATTTTTTCTTATTAGGTATTGTGATAAGGTTTTATACATAATCTGGTATAAGTTAGATCTGTAGTTAGCAAAACTATTAAGTTTTCCAATCAATTTGAGTTTTTGAGTAAAAAAATATTAAAAATTACTTATTGAGATATTACGTCTGTAGGAATAGGTTAGGTCGGGTCATGTACACAGAAGGGTAAAACCTTCCCGTAGATATTATAATCAGAATTCTAGAAATACATAAAACCAAGATATACAGAAGTGTATTTTATCGATAAACTTATTTTTATCGATAGAGAGACGAACCAGTATTCGAATATATCTGACGATAACAAGATATCTATAGATTCATCGTATTGTTTTAGATAGAAAATTCGTTAATGAAAAGTTTGGTGCTCTAGAAAATTATGGAAGATGGCGGCTATCAAGCAGACGCATGACCGCATGACGGTAAGAAATCAGTGCATCCATCGATATCAGAGACGGATCGTTGGCGTTGTTTTAAGAACTTGAGAATTAGGGCTTTGGTGATTGGGTTAGGGAGCATTGGAGGGGACAATTCGAGATCTGATAAGTTCAGTCACACGGCAAAATTAGCCGCAAACGTTGCATCACGCAGATAGGTACTTTGTATCATCCCCACTTCATATTAGAGAGAAATAACACAGTTACGTTATAAATAAGTAGTACAAACTAATACAAATACTAACCTTCTTCGAATAATCCTAAAAACTTGCGTACAAAATCTTCACTGGTGATGAATCTCTCACCGTTCCTGTCGACGGTGGCGAATTTTAGGAATATCTCATGTAGACGATCTGTGTCCGCCCGCTTTAAATAACCAGCCCCCTGTGGACAATATTTTAACATTAGTTTATAAGATAAAAACCGTTTATGACATGGAGTGAACCCATTATTATTATTATCTGAAAAAATAAAACACGACAGCTAAAGTTAGCAAAAAAAAAACACCCTGTACGTATTTAGAACCATTATCACATCAAAATAATACGATAACCATACCATAAATAATTAAAATGCAGTTTCATGCATCAAAAGTGCATTACATTGTTAAATGGTGGACTATTATAATATTATCGTCCTAGACTGGGTACATTTTGTTTTAACTTTCAATAGGAAATGAAATAAAAAGGCAACAATTTTTGTAACAAAATAATTGTTAAAAAAATGGTACTAAGGTTTAAGGTAATTTGTTAGCACATAATAGTCATTCATGTGTTATTCGAGACTATAATTTATATCTGTGCCAAATTTAATTATGATCCATTCATTAGTTTTAACGTGGAAGCACCCATCAATTTTTACAAACTTTCGTACATATTATAATATTATGAACCGTAAAACGGGATTAATACAATTTGAGGGGTAATTAGATAAACAAAGGGGTTGAATAGAGGTTGGCGTATTTTCCTAGTATCTATACACCCCCTTTCTATGTCTATTCACCGCGTTTTACCGAACATTGAATTAGTATTTTCTTGAACGTATTTCCATATGGCCTAAAACCCTTACTTATGGATACCTCATAAGGTAATTTCCCGAGTCCTTTATGCGATGAAACACCGCATTGTATAGATAAATGTAAATTACTGCCTAGTTAATAGTAAACAGAGGTCGACTACTAGTCAATCCTGACTGGATTTGGATACTTCACATGGTACAAGATTGATTTTGAATTTTAATACAATTAAATATTAAAGACTATTTGCCACTTTTGTTCTATAATCATGTGGTATACGTAGAAACTTACTATTCGTATTTATTAAGAAATAAAAAAAAATACATCACTTGAAATCAATTACATCAAATACTATGGACTTTGTCGATTCCTAAAATTGTATTGAGATTTAAGTTATTTTTCTAATATACTTTGTACTAGTCAAGAACCCCGATATGCTCTTTTCCAAATTATATGAGTTTCTTATAACAGTGAGTAATTATTATAATTCAAAACTTTACTATTCCTTCCAGGTTTAATAAAAAGGCATGGCGCTCTGTATTAATCCATAATATAAAAATGATTCGTGGCATGTGTTGGTAAGCGCATAACTCAAGAACGCCTGGACCAATTTTGCTAATTCTGTTTTTGTTTTGTTCGTTATTGTAAGGAGAAGGTTCTTACGAAAGAGAACTTTGGAAAAATAATGGGGAATAGCGGAAATCAACAACCCTTTCGTTGCCGTGGCCGTGCACTTGCAAAACAAATGACTGACACCGAGGTAGTCGAATATCCGTGCGAAGCAGGGGCGGTCTGCTAGTGTTTAATAGGGATGACCGAGTGATATTGGTGATGATACAACATATACACATGATATAACATAAAAAATCCTAAAGGTATCATGACGCAATTTTAGCGATAGATCAATTAAAAAAGTAGCTCGACCACTACTTGGATACCAAAAGACTTATTTTGCTGACCTCATTACTAATGTCTGTATTACCCGTGCAAACCCGAGGCAATAGGGCTCATTAATATTAGCGAAATTATACTTATTATTAGTATAACATCTCAACGGTGGTCATCAGTGAGATCACTAGTCGGATGTAAACAGCAAAATACTATATATAAGAGTCAATGTGTAGGCATTTGCACCATAGCATTGTCTAGTGGAATTCCATTTTATGTTTTTTATTTACACCCAATCAAATTATCTGTGGCTAGCCTGCGTCTAAATACGGTTCAATATTGTCATGTGAAAACCCATGTTTTTATTTAGCAAAGAAAATAACACGAAGGATGTTTTCTTCATATTAAAGTTTTAAAAATAGTACGTCATAATTGATGTCATTGAGTGTTTATTTACTCGTAATTGTCACAAGGCGAGATCATAGGCAAACAGCCAAATTGCTAAATTTTGTAATTTATCTACGGAAGCTGAAATCTATGTCAAAAAATCTTAATATTAACTAGGTAGGTAGGTGATAGGTCAAATAAAAAGAAATATTTTTACAATAGATTGTGATTGGAGCCTCCTTTTAAGCAAATAGCAATAGGTACTTCACTACTTCAATAGTTAAAAGTTACAGCCGCAGCAGTAAGTTAAGTTTAACATAAGCGACCTTATTACAGCACAAGGTTTTTCTTTAGTCTAGTAGACCTAGCCTAACCACTGAGCCAGTTTTTATATTTCATATTGAAGGTGCGTGAGAATAAGATTCAAAATAATAGGCCTTTACCTGTGAAATTGCCGTTCTGCAGTACTGGCCATTTCAAATCAAAATAGTTTTTGTTAGGCTAAGGCTAATTATTTTTATTTTAAAAACATGTTATTCTTTTTCCAAAAGTAGTCATTTGTTTATTGATTAGTGTTACATTTTCATGGCATTACAAATCAAAAAATTCGTTGAAATTTTTTCATGCAAAACGGCAATTTCATAGGACCTATACCTGACTCAATGGTTTAAACCTACCAGACTTAATACTTACTTGTTTTGTAATACGGGGGAAGTTGTTCAAAAATCGAGATCGATCTAAAGGTTTAGTATTATTATTAAGATCAGTTATTAATTTTGAGCGTAAAAATAAAATAATAGGTTTCACAAAACACGATTGTAATTTTTGTGAATTGAGATCGGAGCGTTACGCGCCGCACGCTCGGGTCTGGTACTCGTAGATAGGAATTATCTGATACACCTATCTTCATCAGCTCAGAATACAGTCTGTATTCTGAGTTCATCAGAAATCAGGACCGGGGCCGCGATGCTTTTTTTAATAATAATAATAATATATTTATTACACCAGAAAAAAAACTGTTACACAATTCCTGCTTAATATCTAATTACAGTTATCCATATATAATAATTTTGTGTCTTACTGTAGCATCTGTTGCTGAACTAGGTTTATGGCCTGTATTTCAGCATACAGCGCCTCTATCCTCGGGGTCTTGTTCAATAAAATAATACACAGGTAACTTAAGGTAAGTGAACAGACTCAAAAGATAAACAAAAAAAGATAAAATTATATATTACTAGGAGCTAACATATTTTATATAGCGTATTGTGTGTGAGGTATCTCTCCATTGTGTATATGTGTGTGTGTGTGTGAATGTGAGTTGTGTATGTGTGTGTGTGTTATAGAGAGGGTGTGTACAGTAATGAACGTTTAGCGATAGTAGACTCTTACTCTGGTATCATTAGGAGTTTTTCTGTCTCCTCATATGACAGTTTGCAAAGCCACTCAAATAGGGATTTTTTAACAGCCAGTTTATTTAATGGATATATTGCTAATATTTTGTTTATTTTATTATACATAAAAGGTCCGAGAAATGGGTAAAATCTGCGAGAAAATGAGGTTTTTGGAATAAACGTTCGATCACACACTACGTAGTCTCTCCGCTTTGGTTTTGAGCTCTGTCTAAATTCTAGACTAGCGTGTTGTTTCAGTAAGAGATTAAGTAGAAAGAGCTGACGTACAGTTAGGACTTCACAGAATTCGTACAATAATTTAGTGGGGAAGCGGAAAACTTTAAAAGTACATATTTTGAGGATAGTTCTTTGAGCCACTTCTAGTTGTTTAATTGTGGTCTTTGGTGCACCACCCCATGCCGTACTGCAATATGTTAGCAGTGACTGGCAGAGAGCAAAATAAATCTGCTTAAGAATTTCGGGTCCGACCACATGTCTGAGTGTTTTAAAAACATAAATTAGTTTACGAATCCTTTTACTTAATGTGGAGATGTGTGTTTTAAAGTTAAAGTGTTCGTCAATCATAACGCCCAAGTATTTTATCGTTTTGGCACGCTCCAGTGGTTTGCATTGACAGTCTAAGGTACCAGCAGAGTTGGGCGGACAGTTATGTGCGATTATGTCAAGATTTATTTTGGTTTCACGTATAGAGAAGGCTAGATATTTAGTTTTTTCTATATTTAACGTTAGTATATTGTTGTAAAGCCAGCTCTTAACTAAGTCAAACCCTCTCCGAGCTAGTTCATATGTCTCGTTCCAAGTTCTAGCTGCAAAGATCAGGGCAGTATCGTCTGCATACGATATAATTTTGCCAGGAAATCCCTTTAGACATAGGAGATCATTCAAGTAGACAAGAAAAAGAGTGGGCCCGAGAATACTGCCTTGAGGCACGCCGTACGTTACAGGTAAGTCACTACTTGAATAATCTCCTACCCGAACGCACTGGGATCTATCTGACAGGTAATCAGCCAGAAGAGACAGTTGTTTATCCCTGAAACCTACCTCATGCAATTTTCTAAGAAGAATGCTTATGTAGCTTATGTAGCTCTTGCACCACGAACAGCATTTCTTAAATAATCCGTTCATAAATTACTTTCCTTCAATAATTTCCGTAGAAAAATCGGATATCTGTTTCTATAGTTCCACAATCTTCCATACATCACAGTGTCATGATAACTTGCATAAACCGGTCCTTAATTTGTGTGAGCATATGACGAAGGAACTGTACCCACGACGGATATGAACCGTTATACTGTAAAGCGGATACGAGTACTTGACATTACTTTGGTGCACAGTAAAGACAGTAGTACAAATTTTTCTTTTTTATTGGATATGTCGGCAAATGAACACGGATCGCTTGATGGTAAGCAAGCGGCGGCAGATATGCGCAATACCAAAGGTAACAAGTGCGTTTTCGGCCATATGACAAAATGTGAAACTGCTATGTATGGGTCACGAATGTAGTTTGAAACTAGTCGAGAATATACCATAAGGTATTTGCCGTAACTAAAATATAGGTAGTTCGAAGCTGTATGAGGTATGTAACTAAAATTCAGTTTTTGTTTTTACCTTCGATTTTAACGATTAAGTAAAAAAGTGATTGTTTTTCTGCCTTTTCAACGATATTGCGAAATGATCTCACTACACTAGGTACGTAACTCCCGAAAGCAATTCGAAGAACTTCATTTGATATGAATTGTATTTTTTCTTAGTCATAATGCAGATTTGGACTTACCAGTTTTTAATAGGAGATAAATCCAAATAATGCCGTAGTGATGACTCATTTACGAGTACTGTTAAAGCTATGCAAAGCCAAATGTCAAATGTTCATCAATCCCTAATCAAAGCGTTTGCGTGACCAAACATCGGCCTATTGTTCTTCTATGGTCTACGATTGAAAGATTAAAGGATTAATTAATATTTTAAGTTACTTAAAGAAGATATTGAAACATTGAACGCCGTGTCGGGCAATTTGTGCGTTGTCGACGGTAGCCGAGGATTTAGCCTACAACAGTTTTTGTCGGCAGTCAAAGGTTTAAGAAGTTTTGCATGGAAACAGAATTTTCAATAGTTGGGGATCGAAAATTTTGAATGACAGTAAGAAGTTTATATTGAAATAAAGATAAGAATTGAAGTGCGATTAACGAGTATTACGTTTGATAAGCGAAAATTGCTTACGACATTGAGAAACTAAAGGAGCGTGGAGAAATTGTAGGACAAATTACACAAATACGAATCGTATTCTATATTCTTGTAAATACTAAACTACCCTCGTAACTATATGCTTAAAACAGGTCGTTTTGAATGAATGTGTATAAGAAGGAAAATTAATGATGTGTTATAGTCTGTGGTCCTCGAAGGTGGTCTTCAAGCCCCGACTACATAGTCGGCTAGATCATTGCTGCCAATAGACCAACACAGACGGGGTCTTACGGGGCTGATGTTCAACAGGGGTTGCGGGAAAAGCGCAATAAGGCATCGCGGCCTCAGCCAGAAGGAACGGGTTGGTTTTAGTCAGTAATAGTCTGACACTAATTAGGTGAGAGGGAAGATCAAAGTCATTTGATTTTCTCCCCACACAAAAAGGCTACGTCGTTACTATTGCCACCAGATGAGATAGCGCCCAAACAACGACCTAACAGCAAATTAAAAAACAGGTAATTTATTACAAAACAGTACGTACCTTCTGTAATATGTAATACGTATAACGGCAATTTTCACAATTAAAATGACGTCCTTAGGGACATTAATACGTAATTGACGTATTGCGTTCGCTCGGCTCGAACATTACTAACATTTATTCAATTCGTTTTCCCCAAGAACAGGAAAAAGCTCCATTACAGAATGCATATACAGCACACTCGTATATAAACGTGAGTGCCGAACGTAACACCATCAGTTATTTAGAACTGCCATCAAAGGCAGTCATAACAACAGCTAAATTATTTAAATTAATTAATCTTTAAAATTGATCCATCTCGTTCCATTGCGCTTTTACAGCCAGTGTTACAAATTTAAAAAAGTTTAAGTTGCAAATATTTGTTTTTTAACAATGGCGACTCTCCAATTTTTGTTTGTGGTAATTATTTTTCTATTTTAATACAATTTCCCTAAAATATCTATTTTGACTAAGCTTTAAACGCCCGATATATTGCCGTATATTGAAATTTTGGTATCATTTTGCCATATTTTTTTTATAGATGTCTCTCTTATGATTTATTTATTTTTTACAGCTGATGGTCTTGGTAGCAATCAGTAATGCTGCACCTAAAAGTAAGTCAAGCCTTTTGTCTATTGATAGGGTTCATCATAAAAGTAATACAATACGAAGATATTAACAGTGGTACACTTTTTTCCAGAACCAACCCTAAAAATTCCTGAAGAATGTAAAGGGAAAGGTTTTTGTGCAATTAAACCCGAAGGATACGATGAGATGCAAGATTTGGTCAAAAAGCTCTTGGACACTCAATTTATTGCTGTAAGTTTATACTTATCATTACTCTTATTTCCTTTACAAAAGGTATATTTTATTTATAGCGACCATGTATTAGTAGTGGTGTTAATTGCGTGGTTTTTTGTAGCAAAACTTGGGTGATCGGATCGGAGATGATATTGAAATAGGAACGACAGAACTTTCTCCAGAGAGCGACTGGCATAACTGCCCTTACAGGAAGAAGGTATGTATCTAAAAATATAAATTGTTTATGGTTTATTTAATGGGAGTTGAATCGATAGTGTTTACTAATTGGGTTTTAAGCCTCATGGAATGCCGGGAAGCTTATGGATCCGAAGTTAAAATTTAGTAATGTTATTAATAACAACGTTTTACTTGTGTTTTTTTAGCGTGAGACGATGTACCTTTACAATCATGGCAATGACACGAAATCTGCAGATTACATTATCCAAAATGATTTGATTCAGCAACCCGTCGACATTGTCTCTTGCGCGTAAGTACATTGATTGATATTTATTCCTCCAAATATTTAACGAAAATTTGAATTCATTAATTTAATTATCATATTAGTCAAAATCAATTGGTATATTTACATACTATGTTGGCCTCACAAATAACTATTCTCTATTTTCCCCACAGGAACGACGTAATTGAAACTGGGTCTGATAAGGAACAATGTTTCCAGCATTTAGGTTTAAGTTCTTTAACTTGAAATCCCAATGTGAGACATCTAATACCCTACGCAACTATTTTGTGTTGGATGTCATAAGTAAACAAATTGTTATAAAAACCTATGAAGTTCCTTGTTGCTGTTCTTGTAAGATTAGTAGCTCTATTTAATTTAATTATTTGCTTAAAATGTTAGCTTTGATTAATGGTCCTAAAATAATTCCTTGTGGCATTCCAGAATGCAATATTAGGCTAAGGCTGCCCGCCCACATTCGATAATCGGTAACCGATTTTTCTTAGGAGTGAGATACAAAGTTTTGATAGAAAATGTGTAACGCAAAAGCCATACAAAATGTCAGACAGGCAAAATAATAATGTAGCTTAAAACGTACACTAATCGTCGTCCTGAAAAAGTCTGATGTGGGCTGCCAGCCTTATCCTGGTACATTGGAATAAAGGCGAAAGTTGAATATTGTTAAATTATTAATAACAGATGATTATGTAATGTTTTTGAGACTGATTTTTTCTTTTGTTTTTTTTATTCGTTTTTCTAAGATTTTGTCAAACCTTTTTTTGTTGTTCATACTTTCAAAATGTTTTTTATTTTTTACTAAAATTGATCTGGCGTAATGATTTATAAGTAAATAAGAAAATTGTATTTTAGTGCAATTGCCGCGCTAGTAGGTATTAACAGAAAGTATTTTTAAGAATATGTATCTGGTATACAAGATGAATAAAATATAATGCTTTGTTAATTTATTGAAATGATATTATTGTTTTAATTTAAAGTGGTGAAATAAAATCAGTGCAATTCAAGATTTGTGTCTTTTTTGGTCTTACCAACTTGAAATAGAGTAAAAGCTTAAATAACACAATGAACTCGTACATTAACCTACCTCAAATGAGAAAGAAAGATAAGAAAATAAAGAAAGGAATCAAATAAATTAAATGTCAAAGATCTGTGTAATCTAGAGTCAAAAGCGGATAAAACTGGACAAATCTGGATTTTTGCACATAACACCACTTAATAAAGAACCCCATTATCGCGATTATAAAACAAATATAATATTCCGTTACGTTTTCTGATACACACGAGACTATTGAAAGACATCAATTCAAGCGAAAAAATGATTGCGTTCATACGATTTTGAACCTTATGTCTCAATAACAATATTTATAACCCGTTACAGAAATTTGTTGGTATCTGATAAGGAATCGTAGTATATGAGTAGTCAGATGAACTCTCAACTTTATTCAAAAGACAATAGATTCGGATTTCGATTGTTTTAAGGAAACTGGCTACCATTTCTGTAAGCATCTTTATTTGTTCAATGGTTGATATCCATTCAATGCCAGATTTTTTGTGACAAATATAATTTACATGAATTTAAATTTAATAATAAGTATGTTTTTGCTGACAGATTAAAAAAAATATTTTTAAAATAATAGAAGTTTAACAAACTAGCTAGATGTACTGGTTGGAAGGGTTTTTTTCCAAAGGACTTAGATTTTTTCTAAAATAAAAATAAAAGGGAAAAAGTAAACCACACCAAGTCTTTTACCCCACATTGTATTGGAACTTACAACTTGTTTTGTACCTATAATTTTACTACTATTGCCAAATTAAGCAAGCCAGGGTTAAAAGATGGTTTTTTTCTTGTAGTAGGTATATTATCACTTTAGCTATAGGTACCTTTTCTTGATCCCGCAACATATTATAAAGTGTCTACTTAATTGTATTTTGTATTATTTGTTAATTACTTACAAATGGAAAATAACTCAAACTATTAACTTTAAATAGATTTAATTTCTCCATCTATTACAGGCACACAGACAATCGGATCAAACTTATCTCACTCATAATTACAATTTAATTGAGCACTAATTTACTTTTTAATTTATCTTTCTGCACATATTGTCTATTCCAAGTTTAAGCAAATACTGAATACAACTCTAGCTTTTAAGGGATTTACTATGATTTTATTTCACTTAAACAGGCAAACCCTGTCTGTGTGTTGAATCGGTATAAATAATACCCTTAGTTACACTGTCATGCGTACCTTTGGCAATGACTACCAACAACAAGGTTGTTGTTACAAGGCCAAGGTCAGACAATATTCATAGCACATGCAACTGATATTATGCTAAAATTATGTAATCCAAACCAAGTACTTTAGAGTCTAAATCTCTTTTCAAAGGAGCATTTGCTCAGTTATTATGCACATTGGATATTAAATTCTAGTTTTTATATGTTTGAGTCTGTTTTTATATTCATTTTATATTTCAACATTCTGTTAAATTGGGTAGTCTGTTTCATTATTTATTAAAATACTTAATTATAAATAAGAATGTATCCTGAAAAATTTGATTACAAGTTTAAAAGTCAATTTTTTTTAACATGACCTATTTAAGAATGAATTTCCATCTTGTAACTTAATATCAATTATATTTTGGAGTTAAGTGGGACTTCAATAGATCAATGTGAATGGCATCAGTTTTTATAATATCTGTGGGCAAAATGTAAACCTTATCATCACATTGCTAATATTGCTCTTAGGTGGAGGATAGCAGACCGTTGACTTAGAATTTTGCCATTCCGACACATTCATTTATTTTGTGACAAGCCAAACTTAGTTCAGTTATAGATATGGCCTAAACTTGGTTAAAAAAGATTATTAAAAAATTAAAAGCTAATAAAAATAGGAAGAAGGAAAATTTGTAAAGATTTTGAGACACCACGCCACATTTTATCAGCAATGATTACATATCTACACTATATAGATAAGTTCTACAAATTTTTGTCTAAACAATGTACTACTATGATAGATGGTTTTGCCGAAACTGCTAAGGTCAAGGAAGGTGACTTTTAATGGATGTTTCAAAAACTAAATGTATGCCTTACTAATACACTAAACAGCATTGTGTATTACAGAACATTACTGACATATTATCATGCTACAAATTCATTTAGTATTTTCAAAGTTTCATTTTGTTTTCTCAGTAAATATTTTGTTATAGTTTTGTCTATTTTATACAATTATTACATCTCAATCAAAGAAGGTTGCTAAGCTCAGAATTTTATATAAATGGGAATTTAAAATAAATAAATATGACAATAGGTTACGAATTTCAAATGATGTTACTGATAGTAACCAGTTTTATATTAATGAGTGTATAAATAGAAGTCCTTTTTATTCAAGGCCCAAATGGCTTGTGAGTGAGTGACAATAACAACACATATCTAAGAATAAACAATTAACCTAGGAGCACTAAGGTAATTCTATATTCAATAATATGCACAGATAATTATGTTGAATATTGCAAAGAGGTTGTATGTTATCTTATATTTTGTTTTTAACTGCAAAAAAAGAAAATATATTACTTATTAGTGTCAAAATAATAAATGACAAGAATACTTATTCCAAACCATGTCGACCTGTGTTTAAATCACATTTTCCATTAAACAACACATTTTATTCACAATCATGGCACATTTCACAAGCACATTTATAAAGATAACTGTATTCTAATTACTCTATAATGAGTGGTTGCACAAGTATAAATTAAAAAATAAATTACCCGACGAGTTGTCATTTTGTTGTGAAGAATCCTATTGAACTGAACAGTGGCCGTCACCATAGTTGACGTAACTGATAAGAATAATATTATCTTGTATACTTAAGTAATATAAAATATTTCACTTGGTGTTATCTTACATTAGCAAGTTTCTTCATTCAAGATTGACATGTTTTCATTATAATCAAAGGATTTTATTTAAATATCAGCAATTAAATGAATTTCAGGTGAGTTAAACAGTGTGCTCATGTTAAATTAACTTCATAGTAACATTTTTGTGTCATCTTTACTGAGTTATTTTTATCTGCATGAAATGTTGTAATAATCTTATTTATTTTTTAATTCCTCACAAAGGTCGAAGAGGTTAGGTTGGTTATCTAATAATGGTTGAACTTGAAGACATAGTTTGTTAACTTGAATGTGGACAGTAATCTTCAAGATGATCTCGTTCATTGACGAAGTTGTCAGGTGTTTTCGGAATGCGAAGGTCGCAAAGACGCATTGTGACGTATTGCTGCAGTTCAAGGGCGGACAAATCAAGGGCATTTGATTAAAAATATAAGGCATTGACAACATTACATCCGTCAACAATGATACACTTCAATTAACTAACTCATGTAATTAAACCTTCTTGAATAATAATCAAAAACTTACCCACCTCTTGACAGCTGGCCTGAGTGATTACCGAGCTCAACAAAGATTTAAACATTACAGTGTTTTATTTGTCACAACACAATTTTTCTGAGAGAATACTGTAATGTTTAACTCGGCAACAATTGTATAAACTACGTTAGCCCTGATAACACGTCACGATACATAAAAATGTACAAAAGTCTATTTTTGTTAAACACGCACTGTGCTCATGATCGTCTCAGCCGCCCGGCAATGATAATGCTAAAATATTTAAGAGCTTTTGTTTATTCGCTAACCTAAAACAATTTCGCACTCTTCAACTTGGTCGAACAGCTTGAAGTTTTTTTGCAAATTTTGACGTAATAGTGATGTACCAAGTTGAATCAATTTTTCGTATTCTAGGGATGTGAACCTTATCGCTTAACAGTAAAGCAGATATTGTAAAAAAATTAATAAGCAGTAAACATATTCATCCCTTGAAACATTAAACTTGACACTTGATATTAGACTATCAATTCATTTTAAACTACTACTCATTTACTGAATTTAAGTATTTCTATCGACTGAATTGATCATAAATCCTGAAACTTGACTCGAAAATTAATTTTTTTATTGGTAATTCAATGCAGTTTATATTTTTATCAGTAGGTATTAATATCAATCACCGATAAAAAAATATTTACGAATGAAGGTTTTAAGTTCATTTTCTAGCCAATAGCAGCACATTGTATTTTAGCTTAGTACCCTTTTCATGTTGTTACTACGACCACCAGCAAATAGATGTCGCTAGAAGTTAAAAATCCCGCGTAAAACTGCGTTTTAGGTTTTCTTTGTAATTTTGCTAGTAAGATGTTTGTTTTAGCAGTAAGTAGGAATTAGGGAGTTAGTATGCAGTATACACTGCAGAGTAGGTACTAATTAATGAGTGTCAAAATATTTTGTCGCTTGTGAGTAAATTGAATGTGAAAAACATTCCTTTTTAAGAACGCACTGTTAATGATTAATTACCTACTTACGTACTGACATTATTTTTTTACTTAAATGATATTAGTCAGTATCATTTATTACCATTTCTCAAGAGTTTCATCCTCTAGTTAATTAATAAGTACTTGTATGGCTGTAATGCCGAATAAAGAGAAACACTGAAGGTACTTGTTTTATGTACCCACAACAAAGTATTTTCATTGTTATAAATAAAATGATTTGATTTGATTGGTGTCCATACCATTACTTGCAGTATTAAGTATTGTAAGTATCTTAATTCCGTAAAAGGTAAAGCATCCTCATGGAATTGAATATACCCAACGAGGATGCCTTTCCTCCGTTCCTTTAACTTAGTGAGGTTAGGTTAGTAATCAAAACTGCATTACCTACCTACACTTAGGCTGATAATTAAAAAGCCGCAAGTTTGCTTACCAACAGACTTACGTACGTGACTAAATTAGACACACGGCACAAATCACGCATAGGTACCTACCTACATAGGTATACTGTTTAGTTCAATGTGTGGGTATCTAGGTACCTATCTACTGCGGCTCATTAGCTGTTAGGTAATCTAGACTGGCGATAAATTGATGACAAATTTTTTACTTATTTATTAAAATACCTAAATAGAATAGGTATTTCTTACACACATTTTAAAAACTTTTCCGTTTTTGAAGGAGAAATAGAGAAATAGAAGGAGAGCAAGTGTCAGACTTTTACTCACTCAAAACCACCTCGTTCCTTCTCCTGCTTCAGGCTGAAGCCACGATATTTCAGTGCCCTTCCCCCTCAAGGCCTTCAAGCACCACAAAAACTGATGTTCAAAATTGCTGCACGTTGGTCTATTTTAAATTAAATGATTTGATTTTGAAATCAACTTCTTAAGCAAAAAAAAGGTCAATAGGTTGTTTATGTCTTACTAGGATCTCATTTAACAATGAAATTAAGTATTCTATGCTGGTAACACTTTTTGACACATGTTTCCAAAGTTTACAGACTACTTTGAAAGTCGTTCAGAAAAAAGTAAAGACGAAACAAAGCGTCCTTTGATATTATTGTGTAAGTTCATAAGTCAATGTAAGTATTATGTGACATAAGTATTGCAAAAGTTTTAGAATTCTTTGTACAAAATGAAGAAACTTTTATAAACCGTAACAGTTCTTCGTCAAGTCTTGCTTGTTTAGAAATTGTAACAAATACGAAGGTAGGAATTTTTATTTTCATGGAAAATTTAACTTTTTTAGTTCTTTCTTTATTTTTGATACAAAATCGTCATTTTGGGACGGTGGTGGTACCTATTTAATTAAGTAAGTAAGTTTAATTAAGTACAAGAATTTATATTTTTTAAAAGTCCGTACGAAAAGTTGCTCGTTTGATTAGCCAATAGTTACAACGTATGCCAAAGGCAGAAACGTTTCCTGTCAGTGCACATTGTACTTCCCACCTCTAGTTCTACGGATTACAATTTCGAATTTCGAATAATAAGTTCGTTAGTGGATTCACTGTTGCGGTCGCGACTACAAACAAATGCACGTCACCATTTTGCTTCGGGGCCGTAGAATGTTCCTGCAATGTATTTCAAACCTCATTCCAAATGAGATAAGGTGTGTAATAGGTTTTTGTTACAAAATGACATAACAAGGTTTATCGCTGCTTCATTTTGGTGCTACTTCAATGTAAATTATAATCTTGACGGTTAAGTACATCTTGCATTTGAATTTATCAATAAAGAAAATTATATCGATATGGTTTTGGTTTCTCGATTGTTTCTGATAAATTGCGAAATAGTGGTCTTAGATAATTCCTGCCTAGCAGTAGGTAATGCATACCAAATCGCGTTCTTCAAAGAGACCACTACATATGGGGCCTAGAAGAGCTGATGTTTAGCCGGAGGTGCATTTGCAAGGGTAATAAAATAATACAGGAGAAGGAACGGTCTGGCTTTAAGTCAGTAAGAGTCTGACACTCCCTCTCTTCCCACCCGGGGCAGGAGAAGTCATTTACCGAATGATTTCAATCAAGAAAAGTCCCCTCTCAAAAACGACCCGCGACCTCTAGTGGAGTCGATTGGAACTGTGACCTCTAACAAGTCATCTGCTCACCTTGTGGATGGTCGTGCCAAGTAATCCTTTAGGTAAAATATTAGTAGGATTATATCAATCAACAAGTGCACTAAGCTTTATATCGGTACGATTGTATCTGCACAGTGACCTCATATCTAAAACATACCGTGATAGGATTATTATCTCTATAGTCATACATATATTGAAGTACTTAAAGAGATATTGATAAACTTGATTAAATATAGTAGGACGGTGGCTCCGACTACCTTTTTCTGCTGCCTCTACTGGTGATAGTAATGGAAAGAATCCTTATCCTCTTTCTGCGAAGTGGTCATGTTCGCCAAAAAGGAGGCAGAGCGCAGGGATCTCGCGACGCTCTCCAGGCAACTTGAGCGCCTATCAGCGATCGGCGAGCAAAGGTGGCTTGCCGCCCAATCAAAACCAGACCCGAGCGTACCATGCGTATCGTTCCGCGAGCGCTTCAAATGTAGACCACTTCAGATGGGGCACAAAAGGTTAGCCCAGCTGAACATCAGACAGGGTCTAGCGCTATAAATGTACCTCGGCTTTGACTGCGAAACATTTCGCCCTTTCCAAGGCGGGAGAAGTCATTTTACGATTTGTCCTATCAAAATAAAAAATCCACTGGTGGCAATTCAAGATTTGTTTAAGGGCTTGTCATTAAAACGGTAAATAATCGTAATTATTGACTAATATTGCTCTTTTATTAATAGGTCACTATGATATTGCAGCACGCAAACATACCTACAAGAAATATGACGCACAGACAGTAATGTGTCTACAAGATTGCCGCAAATTAGATAAGAATAACAAATAAGAAAAATATATTTACTTTAACTGTCATATTAATGTACTTATAAAGGAGTTATTGACACGACCATTTAGCATGGTATGACAGATTTGAGGTTACTTTGAGAAGTCTTTGTTATAAGGTGATTTTGCTTTTGTGTGTTTTAGAATTTTTTTTGAAGGAGTTGGAAAATCATTCAATAACTTATCCTACTCTGAGTGGTGCCAGAGAAAGTAGTGTCAGACTCTTACTTCGTAAAAATGACCCCATTCCTTGTCTTACTCCAGTGAAGATTCTGAGCTGTGGTATATTATTGCCCTTGCACTCGCAACCCCGGTTCAATTCATGTTTTTTTTTGCTTTTTTGGCTTCAAGGTTAAACTTAAAATCTATTTCTTTTTTATTAAAAAAAAAAACATTAGGATTTTCTCCTGTGTCGTGGGTGAGTTTACAAACATACACATGAAACCCAGACCCGGTACAACAATTTGTGGATCATACAAAGAGTTTTTCCGTGTGGGAATCGAACCCGCACGGTTGCCCAGCCACCGCACCAACCGTGCAGTCAAATTATAATATTATCATCTTGTACCAAAAATACAAGATCCCAACAAGATAAGAATGTCATTGAACTCATGTGCTACTAAAGATGGAATTAAGGAACAAAATGTGAACCTGTCACGTTTCCAATTCCAAATCAAAAACTACTAAACGAAACTTTCATTTCAATTTCCAAGTCGCAACAAGCAAGTTTGCAAAGATTTTACGAACTCCAATTTCTTTACAAATTCTTTTACTGCACATAGAAAAATACAGTGTGTAAGACATTAAATATTTCCTAGATGCATAGATGCTTAAGTGCATTCAGCTGTAGGGGCTCAAACGCTACGAGTATGGGGTTGCCAGTACGCAATTTCCATAATAATATTCAATAAACGCTGTAAGGAGACTTCCCGAATAAGCTTTCCTTTATGATATAACTGTCATAGTCTATGTTCGGTATACAAACTCCTTTGAGAATCAGGTCATATTCAGTTCACTGAAAGTGGATTATTTTTTTTAAGTTTTTTTCCTGGTATTAAACTCGATTTTTAAATATAGATATATGATACGGAATTCGGGTAAAAAATACTGAGTATTTAATTTTGAACATTTTGAATTGAATTTGGTACTGTTCCATATCAATTGCATGATCACTTCAGGTGAATAGGACTTTAAATAAATGACTATTTGACGTTGAAGACTTTGGTTCTAAAAACATAGGATAGACTAGTTTTCCAATTTTGAAATTCTTAGTTCTTCTTAGGTATGCTCAGCATGAGTTTTGTTATGCTGCAACCCACAAGTGGGACTCACAAGAAATTGCGTTGTTTTGCTTCTGGTCCGTGAGGTTAGTGGAGGCCCAATCCCTTTCTCTTTGTTAAGGATTGGGGCCCTCCTATCCTACATTTGTAACTGCATTGATGTTGCGGTTGTTCATGGTCGGCGTTGATTACTTACCATCACGTGAACCGCGTGATCATTTGCCGACCTACCACAAAAAATAATACTAGACCTAGAGCAAACAGATCTCATAAAGACTTAAAATAGGACCAAATCTTCAAACCATTTGACCTATAGCCCAGCAAATAAAACATTACCCTCTTTATCTAATTAACATTAGAAAACTACTTTCCAGTTAACATTTATCTTAAGCCAATCTCGATTGCGGAAAATAAGGATATCTCCACAACTTATCTAACGGGATGGTTAGAACCGTCCGTTGGAATAGTACCGTTCCCACTAAAACTGGATTGCTTTCAGACAATTTTAGTTAAAGTTGTAACATCATAAAAGCCTTCGTAGAGATATTGCACGGACATTGACAATTTCATATGCGAATTTTGATGGTGTTTCAGACTTTGAGTGCATCGATTTCGGGGGGTTTGTTAAACGAGGAGATATGAAACAATTCTGAACATATCGGTGAATAGCGCTAGACTTTTATTATATCCAAAATATATTATATGGGAACTTGTCACGTCGAACATTAGTATTTTTTTTTATTTTGTTATTTTTTATGACATAAATATGTACAGACTTCTTCCTCCCTGAGAAGGGCTTGTAGAGCTCCTAGATATTGATAAAAACGGTGTTTCTTCTTCTGCTTGAAACTGGGCCGCGTTGCTGGGCCCATTTTGGTGTCGGCCTTAGTGGGGCCCACTTGTGGTAGTCTGATAACTCTGAGGCGTAGAATACAACGTCTATTACACTCGGGTCTGATTCTAGTCCTTCATTCACAGAGATGAGCTTACGGAAGCCGGAGATCGTCGCACGATTCCCGATATTTGGAGTGTCTCCTCTAATCTTGCGTTAGGAGGATGCGACATAAACAACCTGTTTCCGTAGTAGGTATTTTATATTATATTGTGTAACAATTTCTATTATTCTAGACTTAGTATTCGTGACCTACGTACTTATCTACATGGAAAGGAAAATGGATACGCATCGACACGACCGTCATCGTGTAAATTTAATTGAAAACAGCTGATGTATTGTATATATTTTACACAAAAAATAAATTAAATAAAAGATAACACACATACGTGTACAAACAAATCCGATCGTAAAATGTATAGATTTAAGCCTTGTATCCACTGATGCGTAGCATCACTTTTACATTTAGGTACAGCACTATTCCCGCTGTTTACCCATTTAGAAAGAGACAAAACACACAAAACATTGCTTTTTACGTCTCTGTCATGCTCGTATGTTTGTAAATAAAGAGCGTTATACGGAAATTTGGCGCAATCGGTAACTATTGGTGCACGCTCAAATGACGTCATTTTTTCAAACGTTACAATAAATCTATGATGTTACGTTTCAGTTGTTTAGGGGTTTTACATATCGGATAGATTTTTTTATTTTGACACTGGGGCAATCAACAATACAATAGTGAAATAAGTGGCGGCCTGAATAAAATTTAATTTAACTTAAAAACAAGTTTAAAGTTTGCTACTGGCAATAACACCTTTAAAAACAAAAGTCATAAACCTATCGTCAAACAAAACTCCTTTCACGTCACAAAAGTATCAAAAGTCTAAACAAAGGTCGCGAGTGACACTGGCAGTCTAGCAGAATCGTAAAGTAAAATAAATCGAATTTAGCCGTCTCGCAGTCCTAAGTTTCTTTCTACAAAGATATGAAGTTAGTGGAGTTTCCATTATTCTGTACCAGGAGTGCAGATCTTCCCCTACCAAACGCTGTGTACAATTTAAATGGAAATTGGTTTTACATACTTAATTTTAGTTGTTGAAACTTTATCCTTCTGAGATTCATGTTTACCTGGTATTTATGGATTTGTTTCGTGATTTCTGAACTCTTCTCTGGGTTTATTTTGTAATTGTTGAGACTTGGGTTTGTAGAGAGTATTTTTGTTTTATTTGAAGTCTTGTTTGTCAATTTACGTGGAAATAAAATTCATGTCTCATGAGCTCATTTTAACAAACAATAGTATAATTTTTATTTTTTAGGTTAGAGATCCTCAAGTGTCTCCTCTCGTCCTGAGTGTTGGGGCTTATAGAGAGTGTCAAATTCTTACTGAATAAAAACCACCGCGATTCATACTCGCACAAATAACCCAACAATTGCCCTCAACATTAACATCATAAGACAGAATTCAACCCCTTGGCCGCTACAGAGTTTTTCTGTCATATCTAGCAGTAAACCCTTCAATGCATACAAAAATCTTCATTTTCAATATTCGCGCCAGTACGTTGGCCAACAATATGTCTGCCGGGTTCGGTTCTAAAACATATTTTACGCGAGTGCTTTGAGATGTCGAAGGGTTCTAGTTTATAACCCATCCTATTCGATTTGCGAATGTCCTAATTTGTTGATTTTTATTTCGATGCTGTGAATTATTTTACAACATGTAGGTAGTGCTGTCTTTTATTCATGTCGTTGGATCTTTATTTAAAGACTAATTTTGAATTACAAGCCTTAATAAACTGTTTTAATAGTATCTTGTTGTTCAAAGTAAATAATACAAATTTTACAAATATAGATCATAATAGAAAAGCTAAAGGCGTAATAACGCTTAATTATAAACTTAGAATATGAACTCCTATCATTTAACAATACATCGTATGTACACCTAGTGAAGACTACGAACGCAAAAACTCCTAATTACCGGCAACGTAAGAAACAAGGAAGCCCCACAAAATCCGAGGAAAAAATTATTAGCCCCCGAAGGCATATTAATACACACGAAGCAATCTATTACAGTCATTCTAATCTTTATTACAGTGTATTATATCTGAGTATCGACATCATTTTACGGCGTCTCATATCCTCGGGGTGTAATTTTCGTATAACCCTGTAGCTATTTACGAGGGACAAGCTTAGAAGCTATCTGGACGTTAAAATTTATATTATAGACGTCCACGCCTCCGATTTTTTGTTTCAACAGCACTTTTTCAAGATTTTATACTTGATTTTGATACTTGAATGTAAATTAATGTGGGTTATGTCCGTGAATAGAGCTATTTTACCCTTTAAATGCCCTTTTATGTTACACTTTCTTTTTGTAGCCGACGTTCTAGTTAAAATATACAATCGGAAGTCTTGTTCAAGAATCTTATCACGTGTTTAGTATTTCAAATTTATTCACGTAAATCATTTTTCATTTCAGTATTTCATCCTTTGGTGTAGACGTCTAATCAAACTCGAAGACTAAGAAAAACATCAAAATGCAGAGCAACATAGCACCGAACTGTATGGTGGTAACACCACATCACTTGGCCACTCAAAGTGCTTTGGCCGTTCTGAGAGAAGGAGGAACTGCTATTGAGGCAATGGTGTCTGCTGCAGCAACGGTTGCTGTAGTCTATCCTCACATGAACAGCATAGGAGGCGATTCATTTTGGCTGATCGTACCACCCACCGGAGAACCTGTAGTAATCGAAGGATGCGGACCAGCCGGCTCATTAGCCATACCCGATTTCTTTAAAGATTACAAAAATATTCCATTTAAAGGACCAAAAGCTGCGAATACGGTAGCAGGTGCTGTAGGTGCTTGGGAAGAAGCACTTAAGTACGTATCTGAATGTGGATATCAACGAATGTCATTATCCAAATTACTTGCTGATGCTATAATGTATGCACGAGACGGGTTTCCTGTGACAAAATCCCATCATGATAGCTTGAAAAACATTCAAGCCGAAGGAAGCGTCCCTGCTGAATTTGGAAGAGTTTTTATTCCTGATGGAAAAATTCCAAAAGTGGGAGAAACGTTTTGCCAGAAGCAACTCGCTAAGACTCTGCAGCATTTAGTTGAAAACGGTCTCAACAGTTTCTATAAAGGCGAATTGGCGAAATTGATTGCCGAGGACATGGAGTCGTTAGGCATGCCTATCACGAAATCAGATCTTGCAAACTACGCTCCAGTTAGGAAAGTTCCTTTACGATTATTACACAGCCACGGCGAGATATTCAACATTCCTCTGCCTCAAGGTTTAGTTTCGCTAACTATTCTCGGTATCTTAGACAAGTTGGGTATTGATGGTCAACATGAAGGCCAATTTGTTCATGCTGCAGTAGAAGCCACGCTACAAAGTTTTAAAATGCGAGACAACTATATAAAAGAGCACATGAAAACTGATCCCAATTCTTTACTATCCAGTCAAAACTTATTTAAAATGGCAAAAGATGTAAACTTACAACATTTTTCTGGTGCTCATCCATGTAAAGGGTCTGGAGATACTATTTGGATGGGAATAATGGACAACAAAGGTTTTTCAGTTTCTTTTATTCAGAGTATTTATTTCCAATTCGGTAGTAATATGGTACTTCCTAGAACGGGTATTTTGTGGCATAATAGAGGTGTAGCATTTAATTTGGAAAAGGATCATGCTTTGTGTATAGAGCCTGGAAAGAAGCCTTACCATACATTGAACCCTGCTGCAGCTCGTTTGCGCGATGGACGAGTTTTAGTTTACGGAACAAGAGGTGGTGATGGACAGCCTCAAACACAGTCTGCGATCTTTCACAGATATGTGGTACAGGGAAAGGATGCACAGCAGGCGGTGACTGAACCAAGATGGCTTTATGGCAGGACATCTGGCCCTCCAGAGACTACCCTGAAATTGGAGGGAAGGTTTAACGCGGAGACTATAAATTATTTGAAGGAAAGAGGTCATGATATAGTTATGTTACCAGATTATAGTGAGCACACTGGTCAAGCAGGATTGTTAATAAGACATCCTGATGGTAATATGGAAGGTGCCTTTGATGTTAGAAGTAACGGAAGCGCTGCTGGCTTTTAATGGAATATTTTTAAGCCAATTTATAATCTTATTCATAGTTCTTAAGCTAGTCATATAAAATCTTATAATTTAAATATTAAGGTCCAGGTTATATCCCTGATTTGATATGGCATTTATGATTATTTTTTCTATTAGAATTAAGTCGTATTTTACAGGTTCATATTCAGAGTAGCATGTGTTTTATGAATTTATATTCAACTTTTGAGATTAGTAGACCAATTACTAGAAATGGGAAAGACTGAAAACTGTATACACTGTTTTTCCTCAAATACGTAAAATAATATAAGATAATAAATAATTTTGATATCTCTTTACGAGTTAAAAGAAGCTTAATTGTTAAATAGTGTATATTTTCCCAATAAAGTGTAATATATTTTTATTCATATTTTCTTCATTCCCAATTTAAACATGTTGAATAAACATTTATATTGCAGTAAATCAGAAAAAGGGGTAAACAAGAACCGAACAAGTAGCTTTAATGAAAGTGCTATTTTTACGTAAAAGCCTTTAAAGCGTTTATCGAAGTTATGGTCCGACACCCAGAATTAATTACTTCAATTTATTTTTATTTGTACGCTCATTTTCTTGTCAACATTTAATCAACCGGAACTCGAAAGAAACGGCCAAACTCTTCCTTAAAAATAATTAAGTTCTATTATTAAAAACTTTTTTTTAATTCATCGTTCAAAGACACGAGCGTTTCTCGAAAGTTCTTTAGACATTTTTGGAGCTGTCAGAACCAAAAGTTAAAGCGGACTCGCAAGACTTATTTCAAGGAGGACTTGGAAGTCTTTTGTCTTTTAAAAAATGGACCGAAAGTGGAGCTTAAAATTAACAGTTCAGGAACAGTTTTAAATTAGACAATCTCTTTGAAATATATGGTTCGGTTCCTGAACGGTGGTCGGCGATAATTCACATTTATTGGAAAGATAAGGGAACGAACAAAGAATGGATGTAAATCAAATATCGTCGCTTTAAAATAATACTGGAGTTTGGTTTGACGTGACGTTGGTACGCACAGCGAATTTTTGATAAACGAACCAATAAATAAAAATTAATGGGAATGTTATGGAAGGAATCTCATGAAAGCCGAATTTATATTGTTTTTTTTGAAGTAGGTATATAACTTTGAGGTCACACGTGATTTAGTATTTGCACACATTTATTAATTACAAAACTTACTTATAATATAGTGCTATTTCTGTAGTTTGGTGATTGGCATTTACCTAGGGAAAACACAATTAACAACTTATTTTAAATGACTCAACTAACTAGACTAACTAGAGAGATTTACCAGGGATGACTTAAGTACGTGCAAATTTATTTATTTATATGTATAGTTTGGTAAATTCACAGAGGAATTATCACACAAATATTATTATATAACATTAAATAATGCAGAAATAAAATAATATTGAACTCTTAAATAACACAACTAATTAAATAACACTTGCACTTTCAAATGTAACATAATTCGATTTTAAAAGTCAACGTCAAAAGCTGTTATTCCAACTAAACCATAAACACTTTTGGAACGTGGCTCTATTCTTTCCCTTCCTCTATCCCTCCCCATTCTCTAATTTTAGTTTCATATCCGAAACCCTAATTACAAAAAGGCCGGCAACACATTCGTAACTCCTTTGGTGTTGCTGGTGTTCACGGGCGGCGCCGATTGTTCCATCAGCTCGTTTGCCGACTTATTTTATATAAAAAAACCTCAACGAAGAATATAGTCTATCAATCAGTTTTTCAATGAAGCTGGGTGCCAAAATTCATATTGGGTTGCATAGCCTCCGTAATGAACAAGAGTGGACAGTCTCTATCGTTAGCCGTTTATCTCTTACCATCGTTCGAGACAATGCTCAAATAGGCGGCTTTATTTCAATAACAAAAGCTACCTAATATGCCACGTGATTTTATGTTTACACTGCAACAGAATAGGGTTCAAAATTTTTTTATATATTTAATTATTTAATAATATGTATTTGATTTATGTAGGTGTAAGTATTGTGACAGTTATTTTTCTATTTTCTTACGGAAACAAAAACTTACGACGCTTGACGCCACTTCATCAGTAAGAACTTTTTTCGTTGAATAATTTTGAACTCATTTCCACTTCTAAACTTTAATTCGTTTTATCTAAGCATTGTTTTGTAATACGACAAAATAAAAACGTACCTGCGTGTCTTATTTTCTTTATTACCTAAATGTCGATCTGTATTTAAAATCAAATCAATTTCGCGCATGTGCCGCATATGGGACACAAAACAAAGTGAATAAAAAAAAACACAAAAGACATGGTAAAACAATTTAACAAATTAATAAGATAAGAGAAAAATATGCGTCACAAATACGTGACGCATATTTTTCTATGCGAGACAGAGTCGCGGCGTTGATTTTTCAGTGATGGCCGACAGTAACATATATCGCCAACCGGTACAGAAAGTAAGCTGTGTTATATATCTATATTTTTAGGGATTATTACTATAAAAACAAACTGCATATAAATAGATAAAGTAAAACAAAAAACAAAATATTAATTTTCATACCATATTATCCCTATTAACAAAGTCAAAAACACATTCTTAATATATTCACACAATACAAATAACTTTCGTTAATGCATATACAAAGCCACTTGTCTAGCCCTTATTGATTCAAACTTCATTTTCGTCCATTCATTCGAACAAGAGCCGTCTACCAACTTCAAATTCAATATCGTAGGTACAATTTACGCTGGGCGTACTGGCTTCAGCCCTCAAATTAACCATGGTACAAGTAGCAAATACAATAGCATACAAGAACAATAAATCTGTATGCGATTTGTATCAGTTACATTGTCTATTGTGTGCTCACCCTATAGTTTCAGTTCATTCAAGTGATCTTAGGGATCTATCGATCTGTTGTGAAGTCAACAGGATCGTGATTGGATAGATACTCGTGTCATGTCGTGTATTTTTGAATGGTTTGCATTTCTTCATCAGCTCTTTATTAACGTTTGTAGAGTAGCGAATTGATAAGTTAAGTGATTTTAATTCCACCTGGAATAGTGCAATTTTTTATGTGCATACGTCAAACCGACACAAAAAACAGAACACAAAAAAAAAATAACAACAATGTCTTCTGAGCAATTAAGAATGAAAGACACGGTAGAAAAACAGATCGACAGAAGACATTTTAAACAACTGCATTGTCAAATTTAGTGTTTAACGACATATTTGCCGTTCCCTTTGAATTAACAGCACATTAATTTCCATACTAATCCAATATAACAACTCGATTTACGCCTAATTCACACCTAAAATGTAAATAGGGCACGTCAAATATTTCACTTCCTAAACCCTTCCTACGTTATCACATAACAATAATTTTCCCCATATTAAATTTGAAACCAGAACTATTATATATGTTATATCTTATATGCGAGTACTTTTAAGGTCCAATAAATACAGTGTGTGGCCCGAAACTGTCAAACATTCTCATTGGGGGCAAAACTGCGACCAGTGGGGAAGTTCAACGATACAGCTTAATACAACCTACTCTAATATACTTTGCCCTTACCAAGGAGAGGTCGAAACACTCACGATCTTTTTTCTTTGGCAAGATTTTTCTTTGTAGTTTTGTTTGTTTCTAGTTTTGGAAGAGTTGGCACGTGATTTTGATGTCAATTGTTTGTCTATTTGATGCATTCTTTTTCTAGAAAAAGTCGTTGTTCTTATTCAATTGTTTGAAGCGTATTGAAATAATTTTGGACTGATAATCTTCATGATTGTTAAGATATGTTTGGCACAGCTGTGAGACATATATTTATATATTTTTTAATGTCACTTGAGTTTGTAAGTATTTATTTTATATTGGCAATGCTTCATGGAGTGCAAATTAAAATTTGGCACTCCAAAAAAATTATGTTTCCTTTTTTTCTTATATGATCGATAAAAGTTTACACAACACATTATTTACGTATTATTTTATCTCATTGCATATTAAAACCCAGTCGACACAAAGCTAGAATCTAGAGCGAAAATCTAATTCACTTCACACCCTTCGTACCAAGCGAATCATAAATAACATTAAACCAATGCAATATGCAACAAATGTAGGCATAATGAATGAATCTGTTTCGTTATTTCATAGTAGGCCTTTCCCTATCAGTTAAATTAAGACGAATGCGGTCACTTCATTATGCTGCAAGTTTAATTTCGCAATGTTTAGACCATTCGTTCAAATTAGTGGGGCAACGTGACAAATAAGGAATCATTGCCTTTTTATACATAGTAATTGTGTTTGGATTGCGGCTTTTTGGGTTTTCGGTTTCTCTGAAGATGTTTTGTTTTTTTATTGTGTGATTATTTAAATGAATATCGTTTTTTTTTTAAATTATATATTTATACAACAAATATACAACCGTGATTTTCTTAAAAAGTAATTTTAAGATTAAGTTTAGATTCTTAAAAAGTTTCGAAAGATGGCCGATTCAACTCTATTTAATATCGATTTTTTTAAATATTTAATGCGATGTTTGTCAATCTGACTTTTTGATTTGAAAGCAGTAAAGCTTTTCTCAGATAAACCAAGTGAGTAAGTTGTTATTTTTAAAAAAAAGGTCAGTATTAACAATATACATATATACAAATGTGGTCCAAAATAGAACACACTTTCCTGTGCGTGACGGTTTCAAGTCTATAAAAGAGGTTTACTTTAAAAAAAAACTAAAATAATCAATTACAAGTCATAGTGCTCATAATTTGAAAACGACACCACACTTATTACTGACTAGCTACTCTAGCGCGGTTTCACCCGCTGCACGGCTCCATTTAATCATAGCGTGATGTTTTATAGCATATAGCACTCAGGAACATTGTAGGTATCTATCAGTGAAAGAATTTGGCAATCCGACCAGCGGTTCTAAAGATTACCCCCTACATACAAACTTACAAATTTTACCTTTTTATAATATTAGTATAGATAACAACATAATTTAGTTCCCCAATGTGTTGGTAGAGGTGAACTTAACAACCAATTTTCACCAGTCTTCAAAATCACTTTTTAATACTAACAAGCTTAGACTACTGACAAAAAATATCACTAATAATCAGTAATAAGACCCACACAAAATATGAACCGTTACTCGCTCCTTAATAAGAAAGCTACTCTAAAATCAGAAAAGATTTTTTACAACCA